TCCATTTATATAATATTGTGATTGCTACATAAGTTCAGTAACATCTGTAAACCTGAAGAAGGCTGGTATGGCCAGCCAAAATATTTTATAAAAAACAATATACGTTGTTTTTTCAACCAGCTTTGCAGTAGTCTTTGGACTTCTTGTTCTTGGTTCTTTATATTTTGGCTGATTTGATCTGTTTTCTAGAGATCCAACGTTCACAACTAGCAGGATCTTCGTTCACGGTTTTTGCAGCTAATTTAATCCTAGATTTCATTTTGTTTCAGGTTATTCTTTCCCAACCACTTTCCGAAAAATTCCTGCCTTTTCCCTGGAAAATAAGCAGTCTCGGGGTCCACTGCCATCATGTCAACCGCGCGAGGAATGTCGTACTTCACAAAAACATGGAGAAGCTAGTTTCGATTTGCCCCGCCCCCTGCCCCGGGATAGGACCGCTTTAAAGAAATCCCCACCCCCTAGCCCGAAGGACTGGACTTGTCCCTGGGAGTGCCCGTGGGGATGGTAACAGGGAAAATTGAACCGTGCATAAACAAAATAGGTTATAAACTGAAATGGCTTTAGAAGCGAACTGAAAGTAAAAGACACAACACAAACAAAAGGTCAGGCATTTTTATTTCGAATCTTTTTAAAGAGCGGAATTTAGCACAACGAACGCCCATATGGTCTGGGCTGCCTGTGTCAATAGGGAAAATTTGCTCAACGCTGATTGGTTACGTTTCTTGAGGTGAGTTGAACATTGAAAATCTTGTTTTGAGCGGAAAGTTTTATTTTTGGAATCCTTAGTAGATGAGTTGAAGAAAGCGTCTGGCAACCTTTGGAGCCCGTTCTAACCAGTGGCAGCTTTCCGATAAATGAAAGGACTTCCCAACTTAAGGTTTTTCTCGAACTCAGGAGGAAGACGTTCGACATCTTTAACATCATTGTGAACTTTATGATGAAAAAGCTCTTCTTCGCACGATCATATCTTCACCATGTAATTTAAAACTTTTGAAGGAAAGAAATGGGAAAACTCGCGTCCAAATGACTTGTTCAAAACTGATTGGTTGGACTTGAAACCTGTGGAGAGGTTTGGTAATGCATAGACAGGTGAGTTTAAGTTTTTTTTCCGTAGAAAAGTGAAACCACTTTAAAACTATTTTTGTTGGTTAACATGCACTTACATTAAACTTAAAACACACTCGTTAAACAAAACCTTTAGAAATAAAAAAAGATTCATGTTTATATTCCTTCAAAAACGGCAAAACTTAATACTATCATAAGTTTTCACCTGAATTCAAGCGATCTTCAACTGGCGTTGTTTTTCACGAAAATTGTGAGATTATCAGGTTTTTTTATTGCCTTTAGAGAACACTTGATTTTAAGCAGCAGATTAGACAAAGAAGGCTAAATTCCACATGAATTCGGAAAATCTTACGATATTTGCCTGTAGAATGTCTTTGCGCGAGCATTCGAAGAAAACTCGTCTTCAGAGCAGCGTTTGTGACGAAATACGTTTCCATAGCCATTCAAAGAAAACAATCATTTCGCTTCAGCTTTTCGTACGTGTGTACTTACTATTGGTGCGGAGCAGTTTTTGATATTTTTAAAGTGACTTTTTAGCAAAAAACTTTCAAAACGGCGAGAAGCAAAAACAAACAACAAAAGATTTTTAAAAAACAACAAAAAGTCAGTAACCAGTTGAGAAATCGTCTTGTGAAAATCCCTGTGACGATCACGATGGCTTCGGCGAGCGTAAAGTGTGTAAAGCAATTATGCAAGGATGTCGTTAGACAAATGAATGAGGAGTGCAGCATACAAACAGAGGACACCAAGGTCTTGAATGTTCCAGAGAAAGCAGAGTTGGATGAAGGCAGTTATAATGGTGAGGATTCCTGGGACGCTTTAGTTGAGGTATACAAGAAAGAAAATGAAAAGCTAAAGGACCAGCTTGCTCTGATGAAGAAAGATCTTGAAGAAGTTCACAGCGACAATGAAAGTTTTCAGACTGAAGTTGAAACTTTAAGACTTGAAATAAAGCGTCGCAATTCTAATGAAGAATACAGAGAAAGAGCATTTACAAATCTAAGAAAAGCCATCAAGAAAAAAGACAAGTTGTTAAAGAGTTTGGAAGATGAACTGAACTATACGCAGATGGATAAAAACTACTACTTGTACCAAATTGAACTGTTAGAAGATAAGCTGAAAGAAACCGAAGAAAAGAATGATGATTTACAATTTGAATGTGACGAACTGAGGGAGACGGTTAAGGAGTTAAAGAAAATCAAGGAAGGTGAAAACAACTTTTCGCAAATGGATAAGAACTATTACTTGCATCAAATCGAACTGTTGGAGCACGAGCTGAAAGAAAGCAAAGAAAGCAAGGAAGATTTACAATTTGAATGTGACGAACTGAGGGAGACTTTTAAGGAGTTAAAGGAAATGAAGGAAGCTGAAGACAACTTCGCGCAAATGGATAAGAACTATTACTTGTATCAAATCGAACTGTTAGAGAAGAAACTGAAAGAAAGCAAAGAAAAGAATGAAGATTTACAATTTGAATGTGACGAACTGAAGGAGGAGTTCAAAGAAATAAAGGCGGATGAAAACAACTTCGCGCAGATGGATAAGAACTATTACTTGTATCAAATCGAACTGTTAGAGGAGAAGCTGAGAGAAAGCAAAGAAAGCAACGAAGTTCTGCAATTTGAATGTGATGAAGTGAGGGAGACGTTTAAGGAGTTAAAGGCAACGAAGGAAGCTGAAGACAACTTCGCCCAAATGGATAAGAACTATTACTTGTATCAAATCGAACTGTTAGAGGATAAGCTGAAAGAAAGCAAAGAAAGCAACGAAGTTCTGCAATTTGAATGTGACGAAATGAGGGAGATTTTAAAGGAGTTCAAAGAAATAAAGGAGGATGAAAACAACTTCCTGCGGATGAATAAGAACTATTACTTGTATCAAATCGAACTTTTAAAGGATAAGCTGAGGGAAAGCAGAGAAAGCAACGAGAATTTTCCTCTAATTTATGCATTAATTTCAAACCATCCTATTTTCTTAGTTTTTGAATAAGCAAAGCTTTACACTATTTTGGTTGCAGATATTTTAAGAACATAATTGACAGTAAACTAAACTAAAAATGAATCTAGTTTGAATGTGTGTTTGATATTCATGTTATATAAAAATTGTGAGAAATATTTTTCACAAACGTCGGCTAAGTAATGAAATTGTATTATATAAGTGGAATTAAGTTTAAATAACATTGAGAAAGTTGTTTATAAGCTTTTGTGTGTGTTATTGTGTTTAGGAAATATTTGCCTCGTTCAGGATCCCGTTTTAGGCTAATCGCAATTTGCACAGCTCCCATTGTCCCGCAAAACTTTGCTTAGCCTACTGCTTAGCCTTTGTTTTTGACTCTTCTGCTTTCTTGGGCTACAGGGGATTCTAATATGCCGCCAGAAATTCTCTGAGAGACTGCGAACAAATTACGTTTTCCTTTGCTCCTGTACGGCATCCTTTAGGCCTTCTTGGTTGATGCATTTCGGTGACATAGCCGGCTGAGGAACAAGTGCAGAAATTCCTTACTGATGACCTGTCACTACCCAGGTCTGGGTCGTCTTTCTGATTGGTTGGAATAAGAGCCCATCAAATGGATTTGATGGGCTCCTGTTTGGAACAAATTTTTCACTCCTTAGGACCAGTCAGAAGAATTACCCAGATCTGGGTAGTGACGTTCATTAGTATGGAATTTATCCGCTGTCTCCGCTCGTCTCTCAGACGTCCCCCGTCACGGGGAAACCATGTACCAGTGGTGGCGCCTCCAGACTGTAAAATCAGCCTTGCTTCTTTTGTTCGATATTTTAATTTATAGCTGATTAGATCCTTTATTCGGTCCTTCTATTTTGTAACGCTGCTCCTTGCTTTCAAAACTGAATTCACAAAACGACGGCGGCTGTTTTCTCAGGCTAACGACGCTCAGACCACGTGATCCGAAACGCACAGTAACCGATCGATCTTTTTTCACGCTGACCAAGAGCAAGAGAGAATACTGTAGCAGCTCATTCTCCCTTGCCGAGAGGCTGGCACAGCACCGCGGCAAAACGCTTTGCGCATTTTATTTCCGGTTCACCGCAGGTTACACTCTCCCTATTTTCTAAATAGAAGGGACACCCGAAAGAACGCTTGCCGTCGTTTTGGCGTTGCAGGTTGTATCGTCTCTATTAAGGGGGATTAAAAAAGGAATGCTGACTGTAAAACTATGGGATGATATTTTCCTTCAATGTTTCTTGACCTTTTTCTTAGTTATTCCCCGAGGAAGACAGGCGTGCCTGACGAAATATTGGCTGGACTATCAGGATCAGGCACTTTTGACGGACCTTTGTTTTGTACGTCGGCCCTTACTATTTATTATAGACTGTTAACAGGGACCGCGCAAAGGAGAAGACCAGGGCTACCTTGCTCCTTCCCGCACCCAACCTTTTGTGCGGAATTAAATATGGCCCTTATTTTAAAAAAAGATAATCGTTTTGAAGAATAATTTCTCAAAACTCTTTTATCGTTTTTTGGATTGAAATTTTAACTCCATTACGTCTTAATTCTGATCGATCAAAATATTATTTTTAATTTTAAAAGTGTAATAGCGTTATGTCCGTAATGTGTATACTAACGCAGAGTGGTACAAAGTTATTATTTTCGGAACCACATGGGTTCGCGACAAAAAATGATAAATGCAAGAAGGCAAATACACGGGTTACATCAACTGTAGAGGATTCACATCAGGGTACTACATAAGCCTCCTTAGCTCTCGTCGCACTAAAACTTGTTTGTTTTTTTTACCCATAATTTTCTTTCTGTAATCATCTGTTTGTTGTCAAAGTTTTTTCAAAATATAGCGCGCAACATTTTATATCAGTATAAAATTACGCGCGGTCGGTATCGACCAATCCGCTGACAGATTCTTTTCCAACAATGCTCCCTACATGAGCTCCAAAGCGCTCTCTGTTGTTGAATTCTCCTTCACCGCTGATAAAATTGCAGAATTGGCGGCCTCGTAGCTGGGCCGAAAAAGTCGCCGACTATGTTTCCCTGGTAAGATTTGCCTCTTGAGAGTTTATTCGCCGAAATCTTTTGGCTTAACAATATAATTGCTACGTTTTCTCCGACAGTATACAGGGTTTAAGCACTGCTATTCTCTTATGCGTGCTTTTGAAGCACGGCGTTTCGACCCAGGACGCTGCCGTTCCTCCAAGTAGGTCATTTATATTATTTGCTCTATTAGATGTTGTTGTAATGGCCTTTATTTTGGAAAACTATAGGTGGAAATAATAGACGACTAGTGAAACAGAGCGGAATAAAGCGATCGTGTCTGCACTCTCCTTTCGAGTAATGCAATCTCAACAATGGGCGACTTGTGATCTCTATCAAATGCCAATTTGTTATGTTCTTCGAGTGAAATCAGAGGTGTAAGCTCGTTGCACAAATCTTTTTCTTTTCTGATTTGACTTGCATTGCTAGTGAAAGGCATCCTTTTCTTAGCTTTTTATCTCCAGCTCATATAATCACGGAAAATCATTATAGTATTTTCTAATTTGCTACCTAATTTTGCTGTTGGTTACACATCGCATTATTATTGTTTTATTATTTTACTTTCTTTCTCGTGGACGGTGATAGACAAATTTTAAAACTTTTCAGCGAATAACACCACTATTTATCAGCATCACCGTCGGTTCCGAAGTTACGTTTCTTGTTTGCTTATAACATTGAGAGCAACCTTGTTATATACAATCCAGGGATAAGATATAACGGTGCATTTACTTATAAAATTATTACAATTAGAAATGACAGAATATCATAAAAGATTCTGTCGTCCACTAAATATGCCTGTTTAAGTTTTGTATCAGATTATAACGGTGACAAAGATATGTTTAAACTTCATCGGATAATTACACTCAGCAAATAGAGAATTGCTTTGCGCACACTGTAACAACCTTCAGAACAATGATGTATTGTCTGTGAATCTTTCATAAGTGAAAATGCGTCGGCAATTGTACTTCGGCTTTTGTGTAACCGAATTGGAACTCTTGTCATCGAGACTAAAAGCGAAATGTTATAATCTCGTTCTTTATTATGCGATGATTCCATGCTCAGAAGCTTCTTGCAACAAAATTGCTGTTTTCATTCACCGAGCGAAACGTGATCCCAAAGGAAACAGTCAATCATTGTTTAAGAGAGATCTCCCGACGCACTTGTAGACACCTCTTTCACCTCTTTACAACACGCGCACGATGCCCAGCTCATCTCTCATAAATATCGGACCTTTGTTTTCTCCTTCTTTTTACTTCTTTCAAATTTTACGGCCTTTCTGGTTCTGGGTGTTAAAAAACTTAAAATTACATCTGGCTCTGCATCTGGCTATAGGTAATTAATTTTCACGACCACACACTGACTTAGTCACACTTTTAATAGTCTGCTACACAGCCGTTTTCAGTGTCGTCACGCAACGCTCCTCCCCACTGGTTGGTGGGGAGGAGCGTTGCGTGACGACACTAAAAACGGCTGTGTAGCAGACTACACTTTTAACTAAATACTTTCAATTTTTTTGTCACACTTTTGGAGAGAAAATGTTTTGTATGCTTGAAGGTCTAAAAATCTGTTTCAGAGCACTCTACAGAAAGTACTACATGTAAAGCAAAAACACACCCATTTGTAGAGAAATTTCCTTACGTTCGTTTGTAAACTCCACATGCAACTCAAATGGTTCGTGGAATATTAACCATTCTTTTCCTTAGAATTTTCAGGCAACTTACACCGTAAAAATAACTGTATCATCAATTTTAGATACTGCTGAAGTCGCGGATCTGGTGCAGGAATTTCAGTGGAATTTGCTTGAGTTAAACCTCGAGACGACCGGACTTTGCGAAAGCAGGCCACTGCCTTTCTCTGAAGACCAGAGGGCTCGAGATGTTGCGTACGATCTGTCTTCCACCGATGAAGTAATAAACACCACCGCTGGGTCACTATTTCCTAGCGGTATCCCAGAAGAATTTGTCGTATTTGCTACAGTGAAAGTGCAACCTGACAATACTGCGGACTTGTTCACGATAAGCGACGGAGATCAAAGTTTATCTTTCAGTTTGAACCCTATAGAATTTGAATATAGGCGGAGAGGGGCCGCACCAGTGCGGGCTGGAGTCCAAGAAAGCATAGCAGATGGGGCGTGGCACAGAATTGCGTTTGCAGTGAGAAGAAAACACCTCGCTTTGTCACTAGACTGCGCTAAGCCAAAAACGCGAGTGAGAAGGCCTAGAGGTTTTAAGCCGAGCTTCAGTCAGAACAGCAATGTGAGGATAGGCGGACAATTTAAGGTAAGAGGACTGCGAGTGTTTATCTTTCGGTTTTTCGAGGAATTGGCAGTTTGCATAGCTGGCAAAAAAGAAGGCCTAACGCGAATCTTGAAAGGGTCGAATAAACATGATTCGTTCGCGTTTGCAGTTTGTCAGTTTTGAGCGAAGCTAGAGATAGCATTATCTCTAATTCTAGTGAGCTTTCTGATGCTTTTAATGACCATTTTTCAACAATTGGGCCCAGACTTGCTAATGAAATACCTCTAACTGCTGAAAATAATTCAAGTTATATCAATAATATAAAGGTAAATAACAACAATTTCAGCTTCTCCTCGACTAACTGCAGCATTGTTTTCTCACATCTAAACAAATTATGTAGATCTAAAGCAACTGGTCTTGATAATATTTCTGCTAAAATTGTACGTGAATGTGCTGATCTTATTTCAGTTTCACTATGTGATCTCTTTAATAAATCTTTAGTCTCTGGTATATTTCCTGATGATTGGAAATGTGCTAGAGTTACTCCGTTGTTCAAGGAAGGTGAGCCATCTGATCTGAATAATTATCGACCTATTTCAGTCATTTCCGTTATAGCTAAAGTGTTTGAAAGGATTGTTTATGATCAGTTGTATAACTTTTGACCAATGAAGATATCATTTCTAATCATCAATCGGGTTTTCGCTCGTTACACTCAACTGCAACTGCCCTTCTGGAAGCTACGGATAATTGGGCCTTTAATATTGATCGTGGCAATGTTAATGCTGTGGTTTTCCTCGATTTAAAAAGGCTTTCGACACCGTTGACCACGATATCCTTCTAGCTAAAATGAACCTTTACGGAATACAAGGTACAGCTCTTGATTGGTTTAGGTCGTATTTAACTAATCGTACACAACGATGTCTTGTTAACGGTTCTCTTTCTAGAATCTGCTCTCTTAAATGTGGGGTACCGCAAGGAACAATCCTTGGCCCCTTTTATTTCTTATTTATATTAATGACTTGCCAAACTGCCTTACTTCGTGCCAGCCTAGAATGTATGCCGATGACACCCACATTACTTATGCTGGCGTTGATGTGAATTCAATACAGTTAACTCTGAGTCACGATTTAGATAACCTAAACAAATGGCTTATTTCCAATAAACTTACTTTGAACACTTCTAAAACTGAATTCATGCTAATTGGCTCCAGACAAAAATTGAGTACTTTGTCGAACCCACTTGAGCTCTCGATTAATAATGTTCCGATAGAACACGTTTCCTCTGTCAAATCGCTTGGAATATTTATTGATGAAAATCTACGGTGGCAAACACACATTGATAAATTATCTAAAAAGGTCGCTTCCGGAATTGGAGCAATAAAAAGAATTAGACCTTTTGTCCCTCCACCTACCCTTCACTATATATACAACTCACTAATTCAATCTCATTTCGATTATTGCAATCTTGTCTGGGGTAATTGTGGTAAAACATTATTTGACAGGCTACAGAAGCTTCAGAACCGTGCCGCTCGCGTTTTAACCTTCTCTAGCTATGATGCTGATGCTAACCGTTTGATTAGACAACTCGATTGGAAAGACTTGAGCACTCAATTTCAAATACAGAAATCCATAATGGTATACAAGTCTTTAAATGGCCTTGTTCCTGAATATTTATCATCTAAGTTTGTTAAACGAAATGAAACGCGTTACTCCCTGAGGGACTCTGTTAACAAACTATTTGTCCCATTTCCGCGAACTAATTTCATGAAAAACAGCTTTACTTATAGCGGAGCAGTTCTCTGGAACAGCCTACCCTGTCATGTGAGAGAAGCCGAATCTCTTAGTCAATTTAAAAGATTAGTTAATGTTCATTTTTAATGTTATACACGGCATTCATGAAAAACAGGTTTTAGTTAGATTAGTTGTAGTCAGGTTTTGAATTTTGTTTAGGATAGTTAGGTTATTTTTAATTTTTTAAATTCCTGATGGATTTTACCGTGGTTAAATAAAGATTGACTTGACTTGACTAGCTCCTAACTGATATCTTGGAAAGGAATTGGACGGGGGAAATATCGGAATGAGCAAAGTGAAAAACTTTCTTATTTCAAGATAAAGTCAAAATACGTCAAATTTAATTTAGAAGAGTTTTCTTTGCTTTCAGGGCTCTCTACAGCAGCTGTTAATTGCTCCGGATGTGTTCGAGGTTCTCTCTTACTGTAAGGATTTCACACCTGATTGTGACAGTCCGCTACCCTATGCACCTTTCCTGAGCGGTGCCGCCCAACAGAGGCCATCCAGTAATGTTCAAGTCGTCAATAACGTTAGATACGTAAGTGACATCAATGTGAAATAAGCAACTCGAAGTACCCTCAATGTAGCTTTGTTTACGGTTATAAATCCCCTAAGCCTGAATTTCAGCCGTCTACTCGAGTCACAAGCTCGCGAAAAAGGCGTCGTCTCTCTAGGGAGTTTAGACTCGAGGAGACGGCTGAATTCCAGGCGGAAGTCCGCACTCCTGGACAAAAAGACAACAACACTTTTTGATCTATTTTGTACAATGAACTGAATGCTACGCAAGCAGTGACTGGTCCTGGCGCATGTGTTATGAAAGTACAGACACCCATGGATGACGTCACGGGAACACTGTGCGCAGTTTTGAAAATGTTTGCCAGCTTATTCAGGATTGAGCGAGCGAAAGCGTCGAAAAAAAAGTGTAGCACGAGCTATTTACAACAAAGGCAAAGAATAAGCCGACACGATACAAATCTATGAAACCTTATAAAACACATTTTGACGTCATCTCCGAACTGTTACTGAACTGACGCTCTACAACATGCAATCTATTTGTTCTCTAATCATAACTATAACAAAATTCTCAAATCTGATTGGTTCTCAACTGCCCTGATTTCAGTCTTAATTGGACAGTTTAACATAGAGAATACTTCATGGAAAGTGCTGGCGTACGGTATTTACGCACGAGTTGTTGACGTATCAGAAATCGAACGAGTGAGCGCAGCGAACGAGTAAGATTTCTGATACGAAAACAACGAGTGCGTAAATACCGTACAAAGTACTTTCCATGTGGTGTTTATTATATACATACTGAGACATTCACCATTTTGGCGGCCTTTTTACTTTAAATCTTTCAAAAATGCTAAAATTTGCCGCTACACACTTACCGCAAAATGACAACGAAAACGAAGTATCAGCTTTTTAGTAAAAACGTTTGTTAAAAACATAAATGACGGTAAGGATATGAGGTAATCCAAGAACTATAAGTTGACAATTGACAATGAGTGAATTTAAGTAAAATGGCCGGTTTCAATATAAGCTTAAGCTTAAATGAAAGGCAAAGTTGCTCCGACAAAAAGAACAACAAAAGCTTACGTCTTGTTCTGTTTTTCCCTTTCCGTTGTTGTTTCGCCGGCTCTCTACCGTTTTTTTATCGACAGTGAAACAAACAAAACTATTCCACTCCACTTCCGAAATGTTTTTCACTTTTTCAGCGAGAAAAACTCTTTGAGTAAAACTTTTCTCGTTGAATGTGTGCGAAGCGGCGCTGCAAGCTGCAATAAAAGGCGGGAATTTTGGCGCGAAACTCACACACCTCTGTGGCTTCTGATTGGACGTATCATTTTTCTCACATGTGAAAAAACATCGTTCGCGATTCTGATTGGACGTATCATTTTTCTTCACGTGTGAAAACCATCGTTCGCTCCTCTGATTGGCTAGAACTAATTTGCGTACGAAAATTGACGACATAGCTTTTTGGTGAGTATTTCTCAGTATGTATATAATAAAGGACAGTACGCGTCATGCCTAAGTAATTGGACAGTAAGCGCCATCACGCGCGCGCTTAAATGGCTTTTTTTTTTCATTGCTAGCGAAAAAATCTTGGAATTTCTTGTGTTTTGATTTAAAAGAGCCCTATATATCACAAATTTTGTTAAAGTTATGATTAATTGGTAACAGGACTTCGTGTCGTCCAATTCGGTCTGTAATCATACTCGTGATTAAACAAATCGGACTCCCGCTACGCGGTCGTCCGATTTTGTTAATCACTCGTCTGATTACAGACCGAATTGGACTCCACTCAGTCCTGTTACCATTACTTATAGACCATACAAATAATAATAATAATAACTAGAAATACGTATCTCGCGATAACCCTCGCGAAACTCGGTTCGGTAACGGCATTCAAGTTAAGCCCTGTCGGTCGGGTTAAAGAACTGGATGGGTGACCAACCGCGAATATCGTCTTAAAGGTCCATACGTTTTTCTTTCTTTTCTTCTTCTTCTTTTTTGCGTATTATGTGGTGTTATTGTTAACAGTGTATTGAAAAGTAGATTTAGCATTATTTCGTAAACTTATAGTGCGCAAATTAGCATAAAAATGATCAGCTGCGCATTACAACCGCATTACTTCACAATAAACAGACAAAAGACAATGTATTGAAAATAAGACACATACGTGCATGCGAAGTAAGTAAATAAGATAAAAATCATCACCGCTATAGAGTTCTAAAAGATAAGTCCATTCGAAACAAATCTCCTTCCTAGCTGATTCGCTCTGACGAAGGGCTAGCACTCAAGTCAGCTTTTGAATCTTTTTACAATGAAACTTCAGTATCATCTCAGTTGATGAAACCAATTATTTGTATTTCCTAGTTTAGCCACATGTAAATGGGAGCAGCAAGATTTTCGATTTTAGCTGCAATTATAATAGGAAACTCTCCTGTCAAAACGACAGAAGCTCTTGTACGGTGCCTAAAGTAACGAAAAGACTAACAAGCTTTTTTATATTTTTTTTAGATCAAGGGAGAAAGAGGAATTCCCGGCCCTCCAGGATCTGCGGTATGCTTCTTTTCTTTTCCATTTTTTTCTGTATCTGCTTGGTTCATTGGATGCGTTTTTTTCTTTTGTATTTTAAGATACACAAAAACGTAGTTCCTGTCAAGAACCTTAGAACTTAATAAATGACGAATCGAATAATAATCATGTTAGTGCCAGTTTTAGCACATCTGAATTTAGTGTTTCTCAGTGACTTGCAATGGGTGAATGCGATTTGAAATAACTGGTCTTTTGATTTTTCCTTTGAAAACTAAATCAGCTTATTTCTTTTTTAAAAACAAAAAATCCAGGGCCCACCAGGAGCAGAGGGTCCAAAAGGATACAACGGACCAAGAGGCGAAAGAGGATCACCGGTTTGTTTTAACCTAACAGAGAGATTTAGAATCACGTTTACAGCAAACGGCAAACGTCAATTGTACCACGTGAACAAGTTTTCCCTTTACTTGTTGTCCACGGTTTATGAAATATACACACAAATTAGTGGCTTTCGTGCTAGTTTCATCCATAAGAACTGTTTTGAACAGGTTTTACCTGCTCATGTCCTAATTTGAGAAATTTTCAACTTGCATTTGACCTCAATTATTTTGACGTTTGCTCTTTGTCGTAAACGGAATCTTAGATCACCGACAAGATGGGGGCGACAGAAAATAACGAAGAGCTATTTATGACAGTATAGAGAGGGAAGAATTTCTTTTTTTCGTTGGTAGCTGGAAACAGTATTTAAAACTAAACAATTCTGACGGTGGGCTCATTTTACCATCTTCTCTCCATAACTTCTCCGATTTAAGGTTATTTGAAGCTATTTTAAGCACCTTGGAATCGAATCTGGAACCTCCGGAACAGAAGGTCGCACGCTAAAAGACTGCGCTAATCCTTACCCCCTTACAAACAACTTTGAAATGTTGTTGTGTTTTTCACCTGATCAGTAATGTCCTTAAGATGGTCCGTTCGAGTATTGCAGCGGGCAAAAGGTTGCTTGGAGTTTATAGTTTATCCTTCTCAAGTTGCAGTCCTCTTTTTACGCTTATTTTTAAAGTTTACCGTAATTATAAATCCAGATGAACAATACAGGTTGATCTAATACGAAGTGTTTTGTTTCTACAGGGACTTCCAGGACCCCCTGGAACAGCTGGACAGCCGGGTCCTCCGGGGCCCCCAGGGGATGGAATTTATGTCGTAAGTGAAATAATGTGTTGACTTAAGACTAATATCCTGGAGGGGGATGAATAGGTCCGCGGATCGGCGGATTTGGCCTTAAAAAGCTCACGGATTGTGGATTTCGGCGATAAATCGAGGGGATTCGCGGATTTGTAAAATACCGTGGATCGCGGGTCAGCTGAAAGTTTTGGCCCAGTTTCCGGATTCTGTCAGTCTAGAAGTTCGGATTGTGGATCGGATCATCAATTTTCGGTCAGCCTTGGTCAATGTGCTGGTGTTTTGTCGGCTGACGTTCCACTTCCGAGGTTTCCGGAAAAGACTTTCTAGTGACCCGACGTATATACATGTATTCTAGTATAGACAGCGTGACGAAAATGACGTCAGGCAACCTTGTGCATACCTGAACCATGTGTCACCACGCAGGAACCACATTCATTTCGTAAGATGAGAGTTATTTTCGTAATCACATCCGCTGGACTGTTATACTGGATTTTTGGGCCCTCACATTTTAATGCTAGGATTGACAGCGACTCATGAACTATAAAAAAAATCAAATTTACAAACTGGTCGGTGAAATGATAAACTGGATTTTGCTCCTTATATCTAATGCTAGGACTGACGATCATTGAGTACAAAACAAACTACGAGTAAATGAAACTCTGTATCTGCACCTGAAAACAAATGCAGTTTGCCGTGGCTAACCCTTTTACCCGTGCTGTTGTTTAAAGTGGGAACATGTTTATGTGAAAAAGATTATGGTCTCAAGACCTTTAAAGTGAACCATGGAAAATACTTACTGGTAAGCAAATTACCATGAAGTTGAGTTCTGCTTCTTCCGAATTTTGCGGCTCGACTAGAAGCATGTCCAAAGTGATGTCAGTAAGTAAATTTATTGAAAAATCTCTTACGCAACACCAGATACTTTCATTTTGCAAGCATGCATACTATTTGATTAGTCAAATCTGTATCATTGGAAGAAACATTATTAGCTCTGTCCCTAATGCTTAATGTTTTGAAGCTGTAACGAAAACTTCTTAAACATGAATTCCCGCTTCTTTTGCTTTTCATGCTACAACGCTACTTTCTATATACCATGCACGAAAAATTTTTAAAGTAACACGGATTCGGATTTGAACAAAAATTAAGTCGGATCGACGGATCGGGCCTAAAAATACCACGGATCGGCGGATTTGCATACCCCTATTCACCCCCCTCATCCTGGAAAGACTTGAAAAGAGTAAGCAAGCAACGGCATTGCTGACAAATATCTCGACGGTCTTCGGCAACTCTAAAGGCACGGCAATAATGCGCAGGTTTTGTAACGTATAAGGAACGTTAGCCCTGCTTCACTAGCAAATAAACCTAAAGGATGTTTGTCACGAAATTTATCAAAGTTCAAACAGTAGGAACTGCCACAAAAAATTGGGTGAAACCAGAAACTACTAAGGGATGTTATAAGGGTTTGAAACGTGTAAGTCTCATTTGTTTGCTTTGTCCGATGCTCGTAAATATTATTTTAGCAAGTGCTATATTTGGAACGATAACTGACCAATCAAACTTCGTAAACGACATGACGTCATTTTACTCCACCTTCCCGCGCCCGCTCAAAAAATATGGAGCAAAAGCAACAACGACTAAAGAATTCTAAAGAGTGTGTAAAAGATTAGGAAAAGAAAAAGAAAATCGTCGTGTTGTGTTTTCGCCCTCCACAAAAACGTGAAACTAGGCACTTTCGCGTCGTAGTCGTGCAGTCGACGGCAAAAAAACGTAAACAGCAAAGCGTGGTGCATGTACAAAGTTGTTGTTAAACTTATTGCTTTTCTTGAGGCCGCAGGATGGTTTCCAAATGTTACTTAGAAAAATGAATATTCACGCGAGTTGCACGTTTTAAGCCGTTATAAGTTTCTGGTAAAACATAAAAATAACCGCTCAAAACAGTAAAAAAGGTATTTGATAACACAGCAAATACAAAAGGAGTCACCGATGGACAAACTTGAAGAAGATTGAAACGGACTGCAATTGTGGTTTTTGAAAACTTGTAAACCTAACAGTTTTTCAAAGTTTGTTTTTGTTCTTTGCAACGTTTGGAATACTGCATGGGAGACATGTTTGTTTGACACGGAGCTCAGTTTGATTTCAAGTTCCACAGTCAATACGGACGCATAATTGGCATTATAACCAAAATGAACTAGACATCCGTTACACTTTTTCTTTTCTATTAAGAATGATAGCAAATTGACAATTTTACTTCTCATTAATTATAGAGATGGAGTAGACTTCAAGGATCAAGTGAAAAGGGTCCAGGCCCCGTGGCCGGCGGTCTTGTCGTGGAACCACCGTCTGTGGTGAGCACCTCACTTGCGAAATTTTAAGTTTAATCTGATAGCCTGTATCAGTCGAACTGGAGGGACTAATTTGTTAGACGTAGAGAAGATTACGAAGTAAATAACATTTGCCAACTTCCTGGGTCACGTTTAGTTTTACTATTAAACTTTTGCATTAGAAGCCTGAAGAGCGACCTACCAGTGTGTGTTTTTAAGTGTTACCATGCATTATGTCAGTAAAAATATGGGATGCCAAGTTGTTTTACTACATGTAGCAGGTCTGTTATTAACCTTTAAGCTCTTCTGTTCTGTCCACTCGATGAAAAAGTCGTCTTTTCTCAGCCTCTCCATTGAATAAATCGAGTGCGTCAAGATGATGTGGTTTGACTTTTTATTAGTTTCTTAATGTTCATCGTTTTACCTTCCTCAGCCAGGAGACCCAGGACCTCGCGGCGCCAGAGGAAAGCGCGGCGTACCAGTGAGTAAAGAGAAGGATACCTTTTTGTTTTGCTTCACCTTCACGAGTTTCTAGCCGGGCAAACAATATCGAGGGTTAACTATTCCTAACTATTTTCTTCTTTGCTAGTTGTGGCAAAGTACAGAGACACTGTACAAAATCTAAGATGAAAACATCGTACAGATAAAAAAAAAAGTTATGGTCGAACGATTGGCGAAGTTTTCTCACAAAGAGTTAGTGCGGTTGTGAGTCGTGATGCGAAGAGAGTGTACAGAAAAGAAATTATTAAATGCGGAAATACCAAATACTAGTGAGATTTATAACATTTACACCATTTGAGTTTGTTCAAATGAAATCGGAATTTCTTTGCATAGCATAACAATGAGCACTCTTGATCTAAAAGAATGGCTAAAGTGGCTTCATTTCAATAGTCACACGGTAGGATTTTGTTCATATACTCGAATATTAAAACTTTTTACATGTCCCGTTGATCGACTCTTTAGGTGAAAGATTTTTAAAATATACTGTTTCAACATGTGTCCTTTTCTTTGTAGGGCTTGCCCGGTGAAGCGGGTGAAAAAGGATCTCAAGGGGACCCTGGACCTCCTGTAAGATAAAATTCTTCTTCGTCATTAAATTTTATGTTTGCCGGCTATATAAATCTGTAAGGTCGGCGCGCCCAGCTTGACAAGGAGCTTACGAATCGACGACTTTCGCACGACGACGCCGCTGGGTCACTTCATAGTTCTGCGTTGCCGTCCTATAGAAATTTGAATTTACGATTCGAATTCGTAGTAAAGACGACGACGTTGGTGCGCGCGGCAGGCAAATTTTCCCGCCGTTTCTGAAGTTTGTTTTCTTCTTTTCACAAGTAAGCTTATTTGTTCAACCAAAATGCCTAAATTTATAAGAGAAACGAGAGCTCGTATTGCAGACGCTTATGGAAACAGATTTATAAAGGACCGAGTATTTCACTGTATTTGTAATTTTATGCGTTTCATCAACAAACTCAGAGTTAACTACGGATTTAGACAAGTCAACAAAGGAAGAATGCAAGGCGCTTTCTTCATATGCAAGGAGGGGATTTATAAACTTGCTGAACAGCTGTAGTTACTGTGATGAGATAACCATCGCGCGAAAATCGTCAATTCGTAAGCTCCCTAAGGCAGAGAGGCAAATTAAGCACCGGAAGTCGCGTTCAGTCATTTCCACGGGCTTTCGCGTTCTCATTTGCTGTTGTGTTGTCTTTGCTAACCTACCTATTGTGTGTGATCAGTAACAGAAGAATGTCATCACAACCATTTTTGCATCTGCTTTCTTTTCACTTTATTTCACCTTGGATCCAGCCTCACCCAGAAATCTTATTCGTTCCGGCTGCTCACATTGTGGCACAGATACTTGATCTAAAAAACAGTCTTGATCTCAATCTCGCCGAGAGAAATAACCTGAATGTCATCCGATTACTTCGAGTCGTTATTCGTTACTGAGGGAGTAATAACGACTCGAAGTAATCGGATGAAATTCAGGGTAGGAGAGAGAGTGGTCGTTTTTAAATCTAAAGGAAGTTGTGTCTCTTCCTTTGATACTGTGACAGGGACCGTCTGGTGTCCGAGGTAACCGTGGATCAGCCGGAAGACCTGGAAAACCTGTAAGTGTTTTATTTTTTATGATACGAGTAAAGACTCCTGTTGCCAGTGTATATGAAAACGGGTAGCATCCCATAACGTTAGGGAGAGAGCGGGGTTGGGGTAGGATGTGTTGTAATTTTAAATACTATTTGCCATGGTGTTCTATTTCTATTTTCATCTAGGGTCCCCCTGGATCGGACGGGCCGAGGGGCCCCCCTGGATCAATTGGAACAAAGGTACGAGCTTCGATAGAGTCATTTTTGCGTCTTACAGTTCAATTTGCTCATCACTGGCTCACCTATGTGTTTATTCGTATGAAGGAAAGCATCGGCAAGCGCCTTAAATCTTCAAGAGCATTTTAAGATCCTGAAGAAATGTCGCGGAAAGTTTGAGTGCCTCATGTATAAGATGCTATTAATCAAGGAAAAAGGACTAACCCTGAATTATCAAACAAAGTCATTCCAGCGAAACCTTTCACTCAGTTATTTCATTTTATTTCGTTTTTTACATTTTAATCTTTTGTTTCACATCTTCGGTTTCAATATATCGTTTATCGCTTTTGTTCACTTGCATTTGATACTGGTGACATGCCGTTCCTTAAACGTCATGTCTTTGTAGCGTTAATTTTTATGCTTAAACGTTGTACAAATAGTTCTTTATCAGAATCTGGTTATAGCACTCAAAAATTGACAATGACATTTCTTGCTCCAACGCCAGCGGTCGTGTTCTTTTCGAAACCCTCATTTTATTATTCTGATCCGTGTATCAACGACAATAGACCACTAATCTTAGCTAAAACACTTGCCAGAAGTACATTAATATTTGAAACGTTTTATGCTTTTAGGGAGACAGAGGTCTTGACGGTGTCGGTGGAATGATGGGTCACAAGGGACCTCGGGTAAGTGTAAACACGTGATGGCTTGCTATTCCGTTTGGCCACATCAAGACATTACATACTCACTTAAATAGAAAGAGACAGGAAGAGCTACGCATTCTTAAAAAATAGTATAAATTTGTGTCAGTAAGACATCTTCTTTTAAGATACAGAGGCATATTTTTCAAACCAGAAAAAAAATGGACATGTAGGATAGTAGTCGATTTTAAGTGTATGGAGGTAAGTAAGAGGGCAGTTAAAAATATGCAAGAAAAAAGGGACGTACGAAGAAAAAAGGCTATCAGTCTAACAGCTATCGTGCTCTTCATAATTATCAGGGTTTACCAGGGGCTCGTGGAGAAAAAGGAGATAAAGGAGAAGCCGGGGAAAGAGTAAGTTTTTTCACCTTCAATGTTCATGATATAAACTCTCAGGTGCGATTCATAACCGGTAGGAATCGAGGCGGGAAAATTGCAAAAGTTGTGATTAGAACTGTAATGCCTAGCGCTGCGATTGGCTGAAAACAACAATTTTAACCAATCAAAAGGATGATCAACACCAATCATGACTTTTTTCCCGCGCTTTTGGTGTCAGCGATTTTACCACGTTCATTTGATAAACCCTCAGCGTCACTCCTGCCCCCACCGCCCCCTCCCCTGTAAAACGCAGAACATAAGAAGGGGAGAAAATCAAAACATGGATACCTTGCTTCCGAGTTTATCTCGTTTCTTTTTATGTTTCTTCTTACAGGGAGACTCAGGTCCAGCCGGACAAAATGGTGTTCCGGGTGGACGGGTAAGTAGTCCTCCTTCAGTTTTATGTCCAGAGTTCGGCTCGAGGAAGAACACACGGTACAATTTGGTTTAGCGATCTGGGCTGATACCCATTAAACAACGGAAAGGAAAAGTATTATATAATACAAATATAAATTTTCAAGACTTACATTTTCATTTAAAACTGCACTTAAACTGAAACGATCCACTTCGGAGAGTCTTGACATGCAGCGAGTCTGCTATCCTGGTAAAAAAACTGCCCCAACCACTAGGCCGAGGAAGATTTCCCATTTCCCATTTCCCCAAGGCAAGCGGGAATAATCCAGAATGTTTTTAGTAAGTGTAAACAGATTCGAAAATTTTGATCAAGTTAGTTTCACTAAAATCACAAGTGGCAACAAATAACAAGTTAACGACCATATTTATTTCCAGGGTCCACAAGGTGAAACAGGACCAAGAGGTCCACCTGGACCCAGGGGACTTCAGGCAAGATATATTTAATACTGGCTCAGAGTCTATTTGCTACAGCGTAAAGATGAATAAATACTATTCCAACCAGAAGCCAAAGCGTATGAACGAACAAAGACGGTTCAAAACGTGCGGATAGCGAATATTTGAAAACGGAGGAAAAATATTCCTTTTCGAATAAAAATGGATGCGAGTGGATGGAGAAACAGAAGATTTTCTTAAAATATTATCGCTCCATGGAAGGCGCGCGTAATACTAGCTACAACTTCAGCCACTTTAATCCCATGAACGACGGCGCTAGCAGAGTTAGTTCACAATTTTGTCATGACTTGATACACTACAAAAAAGTGTTAGCAACTGGAAGAACAAAAGAAATACATGAAATGAATCATTTCCACAACTGTGGGTCAAAGTGCGTTTTTCAGAGAAGAAATGACCAGTTGTTACTTTCCCTCCAGTGCCCTACAGCGATCTCTTTTTTCATTCCCAAGACGTTGTGATTTAGGTTAACAGTTTGTGTTTTTATTTCTTTGTGTTAACAGGGAAATACTGGCGAAAGGGGTCCGCCTGGTCCTCCTGGATCTCCGGTAAGCCGGCTTAATGACGTAACACTGGATCAGTATACAAATGTGGGAAAATACCCAAGTACTAGTACCCCTCCACCTGGACCGACCACAAGGCGTACCGCCAGCGACGTTTTTTCAGTGATACATATCCTTTTTTTCTTGTTTTTCAAACAACCATCAGTAAAATCTCACTCTCAAAAGTTTTAACCAAAAATTTGGCAGTGCCACAATATTTTTAGTGCTGTTTCCACTTCTAAGTTCAAGTAGTAGAGTCAACTCCTTTTATAGCGGACACTGTAGGGACCTTCAGTTAGTGTCCTCTTCAGCAAGAGTCCGTAATAGCGAGAGTTTACTTCACTCAAACATCTGTTATTTATTTTTGCCCGGAATCTAACTGCTGTCCGTATTATCGGGGTGTCCGTTATAGCGGGGTGTCTGCAAGGCGAGAATTGACTGTATTACACAATTTTGGCAATTTTTGTGATCACGTGACCACAGCTGCAAGGGACCTGTTATTACTTCGTGCTAAATTAGTGACGTTGCATAACTGGATTCGTGCCCCACTTTCTTTATAGACGTCTTCTCTAACAACCGTTTTTCTCTTTCTTGGGGGTTAAGGATGCAGCTACATGAAGACTAAAAGTATTGATTTGCAAATGGATTTTTCTTACTTAGGGACCTTCAGGTGCACCAGGAATTCAAGGCGTTCAAGGCATGAGAGGAACTCCGGTAGGTAACGCGGCAGTTCTCCTAGAAATTCTTAAAAAAAGAAAGGCGAATTTATAATTTCCTGCGTCGCCCGCTTTATGCACTATTTTACACTATGGTCGCCTTAACATAATGAAGAACACAACTTCTATAAAACCATAATCTACATTTTCTGATTCAAGGACTTAAAAACTTAGCTCCACACTATAAAAGCTTTCACGAACCCCTGCCCTTCATTCGAGCTCCCTATTTCCTAAAACACATTATTCAGGTTCTCGAGTCAGAGTTTCTCTACCCCACTTTATCTCTTTCCAAGAATACACGCACGTTACTGCTCGCCGTTTTGTACTTAGAGAACAAGCGTAATTTACAAGTATAGCCATTGTTTTAGAGTCTGAAAACAAAAGCTACACTTGTAAATTACCCTTGTAAAAGTTTTATTAAATCGACCCCAGCATGTCAACGTCGTTGCCTGGGTCTCTCTTTCTCCCTTCCCCTGGTGGGAGTCCCTGGAAATGAGGTTGCCGCCAGTTGTCGCCTTTAAAAGTCAATTATGCCGTTTCATGTTGTCTTTTTGATTCCCTGTTTGTTTTATCCAGGGTCCACCAGGAATTCCTGGGCCTCCAGGCCCTGTTGGACCTAAGGTACGTATTTTAGAGCTACTTCAGAGGCTATAGCGATCTTTTGGAGTGGAAATGGTTTATATATTCTTTCCAGTGTGTGATGTTAATTATATTGTCCAGGGTGAGTGACCTCTGTACCGAGTTGGGAGGGGGAGAGGGTCGCTTACATTAATCGTCAAATGTTAAAATTTTTATTGCAGCTTAGAGTACAAGTAGTCCCCCATTTTTCCTCAGGGATAGTAGGGCAAGCGAAACGCCAGCGCGCGTGAAAATTACCCCGCGGGAGAAAAGGCGACACGCGGCGGGGAGAGAGAAAAATGAGGGACTGCAGACATTTTCTCTCTCCCTGACGCGTGTCGCCTTTTCTCGCGTGGGGTGATTTTCACGGGCGCTCGCGTTTCGCTCGCTTTACTATCCCTGAGGAAAAATGGGGGACTACTCGTAGTCTATTGCAGCTGAAAACACAAAACATAACGGAATCTTCAGAAAGTAAAGTCGACATCGTAATTAACTTGTTAGACTTTCACAAAGCCCTTCGCAGTCGCGCGGTTTTGTCTTGTCACAACCTTTCTCGACTGGTTCGCTCCCTTAGGTCGCTCATGACGCTCGCTTTGCACGCTCTCTTAGACTTACTGACATTCACTTATTCATCTCATTGCAGGGCGAAACAGGGAAAATTGGTATGCCTGGATATCCGGGTTCCGATGGTGTTCCGGTAAGAAGTGGCGTGAAATATTCCAACATATAACTTAAAGAAAATATGTCATCAACACTCAAACAAAACAGCCAGAAAAATAGAAAGAATGATGCCAGAAAGTTGCACGTGTTAAGAATTTAAAGCATAAAAATAGACACAGAAAACTCAATCAATCATAACACATTTTAGTAGCCTTGGCTTCGACAGAGAGCTGGACCAAGCACAGAATGCGAACTTTCGTGGCACTTGCTGCTGCCTCCTGTCAGTGCCAAGGTTCCTCAGTAAGGGCAGCAAAGTGTTTGTCCCCTACTCTAATAACAAAAGCACAACAAAGGGTCACTCTCTCTTGTTCACTTTTTAACGTGATCCCGGCCCCCTCACAGCACAAATACGACGTGGAATTTCCTATTTCACGTTTTATGAATTACGTAAGCACGAGGCAAAGATTTTCCTTTCTGTTTCTGAACTTGGATACGGTCCTTATGAATTCACCCGAAAAGTACCAAAAGCGCCCATATTGAACTATTGAATAAAATGGGATCATAGCAAAAAACAGCGATCCTGTTATGTTGCATTTGAATTATTTGTTTCTAAGTATTTGACTGGAGTGCCTGTAAACTAGCTAGATAAGCTAAGTGCACTTTCCACTACAAAGAAGTCATTAAACCATTATTATACGACGTTTTCGCCGCCGTCGCTGTTGTGGTTGCTTAATCTCCCCAATAACTGACTAAATGTGTGATGTTTCGTCATTTGTGAACTTTATAAACCTATTAGAAGTCTTTTGTCGTAGGGATACCCTGGTATTGAAGGACCCCCGGGGCCAAAAGGAGACAGGGTATGTATATGCTGCTATGCCATATTGTAATCCGACTAGTAGCCCTTTTTCTTTTTCTTTTTTATTCTCTTTTCTTTTTTTCTTTTAATTTTTACGTCCGTACACGCGTAAGTTCATTTAAACGCGTAAATAAAATAGAGGCAATGTATGGAAGGTCACCTGTAAACGTAAAAGTTGAACGGCAATACCAGGAAATCCACCCTTAGTCTATCCGTCCGCCGGTAAGAATGTAGTCCAGAAAACCAATAGCGTTCCACGCAGGCGTTTTAAGGGGAGCTCGTTTTTCATCCCTCCCCACAAGGGATGAAAGACAAGCTCCCCTAAAAACGACTGCGTGGGAGGCTCGAAAACCAACGGAACGAGGATGTATGTATGGGAATTCGTGTATGTAACATTTTGGTAGTGAAAATTCCTAAGATTAAGGTTTGCAACCCTTCCCAGTTTATGAAAACGTGTTTTGTGACGTCATTGACGAAACAATGTCACGTGTTATTTGAAATCACGTTTTTGTTGAGCCACATTTGTAGTTCACTTTTCAGGATCACTGATAAATCAAACCGTTCTAAAGGCATTTTTTTGTACAAATGTATCTCTGGTGTGACAACCGTGTAACAATATTTAATTAACAATTTGGACACATGAGGTATACATTGCCCAGTGTTACGGCAGCTTACATGACTTTCCAAGAAATCTTTAGGAAAATGGACATGTTTAACTTCTCAGGGACTGTTAAATCTAGCCCACACTGCATGACTTATGCTGTACCTACAACGAGTCTAATTAAAAAAACCAAGATGGCGTTCACCGACAAATTTTCTCAGTGAATAATGTGCCAATTTTACAAGCCCATGACGACGACAGACATTGAGTTGCATTTTCACGCCTTGTTAACACGCGATTACACGATCTCATTTCGACCCAAATTATTGTTAAGCCTGGGCTTAATGGCTTAAAGGCAGTTACGCCGCTGAATTAAGTAATAAACCGTACATCTGTCTTGAAACATATAGTAAACCTTTAGCTCATCCTTATTTCCCTGTCATCAAAATCTTTGACTGGTGGCCTTGTATATTCCCAGGGACCTCTTGGAGTTAGAGGACCACAAGGCTACCCAGGCCTCCCCGGACCAAAGGTGAGTTGGGATCATGTAGGAGCGTAAGCTTGTACCCAGATCTTGTGGACGAAGCCGAGGGCAAGATCTTGCCTTCGCGTCCATGAGAGATTTGGGTACGAGATTGGTACGACGATATCAGAAATAATTTGAGATAAATATTTTGCGAAGAAATCTAAGCTTTGCAACGAACAAGAAAAAGTCTTAGCATTGGAAATTTTCATCCCCAAGCAAAGTCCGTCCTTGATAATCATATCTTGTCTGAAACTTCTGTTTAATCAGATAACCCTTTCCATTCTTCATCATATTTCTAGTAGTTACGTTTGCCACTTTTAAGTGACAAACGTAAAAAAAAAACGTAAAAACTGTATGTTTTTTTGTTTTTTTTTGTTGTTCCCCTATAATCTGTTAGAAAGTCTTTTCTCCTCACATCACATCCGTGTAAAGAAGTTGTGATAAGTTAACTTTTAGTCGATAATGTACCCCCGGATCCCTAGCCTGTTCCAGGCTCACAGAAAGTGGGGAAGCTGCGAAAGTGAAAGGTACTCGAAAAAGGAACGTTTTATTTTCATGTTCGCGCTTTCCCCGCGGACCCGACTATCTCGGAGCCTGTAACAGGCTACCGGATCCCTAACCCAACTTACTGGTATCTTTTTCCAGGGGAATCGAGGAAAACGTGGGCCAGAAGGAGAGAAGGGGGAAGAGGTTTGTACTTTGTTTGGAGACATTTTTACATATAAAACGCAGAATAATTTCGATCCACTTGAAAATTTATCTTAATTTAAAAAGTGTCTAAAATGGCTATGCATACTATCTTTCACCTTATATAGTTATCGTAGGTTTTTAAATCCTTTTAGTTTTGATCGTTTTATATTGACTCATTTCTAGCTTTAGTGGGCCAGAAGGAGAGAAGGGGAAGAGGTTTGTACTTTGAAACCCGATTAAGCAAAGCGATAAGTTCTGGCGTGTCGATCAAGAATTTCCAAGTCCAACAGCAGAGATGGCAAAATCGGGGATGCGTTTAAAATATACAGATCGGTCGACTGCAAAACGGTAGCCAGCCTACGATCGCAAAAGGATGCTTAGCAACAAACGCCTTTGTTTCAATTGCACCGGAGGCAAACACAGGGCTGAAGATTGCAAAAGCCGTTCCATGTGCCAGATTTGTAAGAGAAGGCATCACACGTCCATCTGCAACAGCGTCAGTAACCAGTTAATGACAGCGAGAAACCCTCGCTACCGGCAAGTCCTGAAAGGTACGACCACTTGAAGGAGTGAAGATGGACGATATGGACCCAAAGGATTACCTTCCGGTGCACCTTATCTTGGGAGGTGTGACTATACTAAGATCAAGACTGTAACAGCACCTCTTATTGAGCCGCAAACGAGCCTATTGCCGAGAAAAAACTAAGTTCGGATGGACCATTATTTCACCGGGCAAAGAAGTGGATCTGTCTCCCATGTTCCTGACGCAGACATCAACGGTAGATTACGACAACTTGTGCAGACTGGACGTGCTTGGACTGGCAGATTGTGCAACTGGTGACCAAGACGAGGTGTATTCAGAGTTCAAAGAGCAACTAAGACGAGATGATGAGGGTTGGTACGAAACTAGCCTACCATGGAAAGGGAACCACGCACCTTTACAACCAACGCACTCTATCTTATCGAGACATTTTTACATATAAAACGCAGAATAATTTCGATCCACTTGAAAATTTATCTTAATTTAAAAAGTGTCTAAAATGGCTATGCATACTATCTTTCACCTTATATAGTTATCGTAGGTTTTTAAATCCTTTTAGTTTTGATCGTTTTATATTGACTCATTTCTAGCTCTTAGTCTTAACCTTTGTTACACACAATTAGTTATTTCTGTATAAAAAAGGGGCGATAATAGTGTTAGAGTTATTATAATTTTCATTTAACAGTTTGCAACCCTTGTTTCCTATATCTCTAACAGACGAGAACACTTAATGAGGCTGTAGAGCAAGCTTAGCACTCTATCTTATCGAGTCGTAAAATATATATACTCGTATTTTACAGGGTGTTTCAGGATTTCCTGGCGCAAAAGGAGACGAGGGTCCGAAGGGAGAAGATGTAAGTAAAATATATTCTCATTCAGCAAATCTCAGGCCTTAAATGTTACGTAATTATCCCACGATTTGTTCTTATGTTGCCTTTGGGATGTTTTTTTACATAGGGTACTGCAGGAAATCCTGGTTCCCAAGGAGTTGAGGGATCCGAAGGTCCTAAGGTTAGTTACCTTATAAATTCGTAGTCTGTTTGTTTTAACATGTCACATCAGCCATAATATGTAACAGCAATAATCAAAGGGCGACCATTTCTGTATTACGCCAATGCTAAGCAACGAGCAACGAGAACGTTGACTTCCGGGACGTCAAAAATAGTGGCGGAAAGTTGACAGTTTCTCTCTTTCAGTGCTCTGGCTCTACGATTCCTTATCACTGGTGTAAAAACAAAAGCATTTAAACTAGCTGTGTTTGATAAAATCGTTCAATCAGGCAGCACATTTAACTTCCGGTTGCTATTTATGATATCTGGGACGTAAGCGTTTTCATTTTATGTTATTTGCCACACAATAATTACAAGAAATATAGGAAAAGGCGAGTAGACCTAACAGAAACTTTAGGAGCTTATGAGAAGTTAGGCCTCCTCGAACTACTGGCTAGAGCTGTGTTACGTCAATTGAAGAAAAGATGGCGAAAAGTCGAAGACGGAAAGATCCATCTTTCAAGATCGCTATTATACAAGTTTGAACTTCTAGTACCGTAAAACAACTTAGGATCAAGTACCTTTTGGTTGTCTGTTTGTTTGTTTGTTGTTGTTGTTTTTTGCCACAGTTCCCTGTTTTATTTACCTAAGGATTTTCTTGTGCTCACTTTGTGTTCATTTACTCGTTAATGTACCCTCTGACGCGTTATCCACGATATTGTCCAAGAATATCCTCCACAGCGAGGGAGGGAACAGCTGCAATAAAATCACACTTGTTCTTTTTGCTTTATGCTAATGGCCCCTGAGCAGCTATTTTCATAATGTGTGGTCATTACTATTACTCTAAACCTGGGTGATTTTAGTTTGTTTGTAATACACATTTTAGGGTCGGACCGGTATCCCAGGGCCATCAGGCCCATCTGGACCTACAGGACCAAAGGTAGCATCCATACGTATTAGTTAATAAACACGTTTTTTAGGCTTGTGCGCACTGATTGTCACAAATAAAAAGTACCATTTCTCTTGCTCATAGAGCTGTTTATCCCTCAATGGATCTTTACCAAAAATATCTTGTTTATATTTCCAGCGGTTTGTAAGATTGAAATACGTTTCACTTTGCTATTAGTTTTAAGTTATCTTTAAACGTTTCCTTTTTTCAGGGAGAGAGAGGGGCCCCCGGAATGCCAGGATACACCGGAGAACCAGGAGAAAAGGTAAGACGAACATTGCTGAAGAGATAATCGCCGGTATCAACTGAACATCTTAAAACCTTGTGCTTGTATTATAGGGAAATACAGGAGCTCCGGGACCAAGAGGACGAGACGGATCTAAAGGAATAAGGGTAAGGACTGAATTGTGGGGCCAAAGGGCAAAAACCAAAGATCATCATGAGGACTAAAAACTTTAAAGCGCGATCTTAAGCGCTTTTGTTGACACCATTAAGTCGGAAAACGGTGTTTAACTGACCAGCCAGCGCCAGGGCATCGGACACCAGTATATAGCTATTTCGAGAAACGTTGTCGGATAAAGTACAAGCGACAATCCCGAAAGGTATTGTGGGTGGTTTTGAGTTCACTGTTCTTCAAAGAAATTTGAAAGAAGGGCACGAGAGGCCATGGACGTATGTTTGCAAGTGCTAAAGGAAAGCATCAAAAGTAGGTTCAACAGCTACAGTCGTCAGGAACAGTGTATTGATCATATCCCATATTATCTTTCGGGGTTACTTTCATGTCAATTCCTCCTCTTTGTTTTGCATTTACAAGTGTACCTTTGTGTTTAGAGTAATAGACAATAGGTTGGATTTTGCCGCTATTGTAATAACACTAGTCTCAAAAGCTAGTAAGGTTTCTCTGTTCGGTGATTTTTAGGACAAGGTTACTATATTTATCAACTCGTTAAATTGCGAAAACCCCTTTTTGTTATAAGATTTACTGCAAAACGTATTTTAATAATTAAGAATTTAGATCATGGAATAGCATTCGTATTTAATCACATTCTACACTTATTTCATTTGAACCAGGGAGATCCAGGACCTGCAGGACCACAAGGACCCAGAGGAACACGGGTAAATTCAACTAAGATTTATTTTAAAGTCTTCTCCAATATTAATTGTTTTCAGTTGTTCTGTTGATCTTGTTGTTAATGATGCAACATCTTTTTCATCAATCCTTGGGTTTTCGAGACATTAATCATATGCATGATGATTGCAAGTTTCCTTGTTCTTAAGGCCAACTGACTTTTATATATGTTCAATAAGTGTCCATCAATAAATTTAATTCGCCTGCGAGCAATCGGCAACAGTCCAGACTTGAGAGTCTATACCCAGTTTTGAAACCTTGAAAAAAACGCTAGACAATTGAACATTTTCAAATCATTTTTTGTTTTCTTTCATGGGAAAGTGGCTAGGAGAACTAAGTACGATCACATAATGTCAAATTCCACAACTTGTAAATTTTTAGACATGAAGTTATAATCATAACCTTTTTCTTTTTTTCAGGGTCCACGTGGTGAGCGGGGTAGCGCCGGAACACCTGGTACACCTGGAACTAAGGTATTTAATTGTTTCGTAGTGCGTTTCATAATTAACGCTGCGGGCAGGAGGGGTATTGTCAAAATATCTGATGGTGATATGTTAAGGTATTGATAATGACCGGCATATGAAAGAGGTGGCATTTTCCTTAACAGAAAAGCTCGGCAAAACTGGAACGAGCGAACGAGAAGTTGGTAAGCAGGTAGAGACGGAAAGGAGAACTTTATTTCATAAGGGTAACAAACGGGGGGCTCTTAAATATCAGATTGAATTTGACTAAGCAAAGATGTTTCATATCTTGGGAAGCATAGCAAAGCTGCAAGCTGATGCGCTACAAAAACATTACAGGCTGCCTGTAGCTCGTGTGCGCCATAACCTTAAATTGTTATAAGCAAACATTTGCAGACTTCTTTTAGTACTTGTTAAAAGTGTCTTTATTTTTCCTTCAGGGAGCCCCTGGTGAAGCTGGCCTCCCCGGAGACCGTGGAAACCCGGTAGGACATATGTAGTATCACAACCCCCGTGGCTGGTTTATCTTTTTATTCATGAAAACTCCCGATGTTGCAACTATATATGATTCTCCCAAGTAAACATTTCTTGGTAGAACCGACGGAGGAACCGAACCTTCTATCTTAAACACCGCTTTTCAAATCATAGTCAGTAAAACGCAGCTCGCACAATCGTTATATTTCCATGTAGGATTTCCCATTTTTTAATTGGGTGACGCAATGCAAGAATGACTTTTGCGATAAAAGATTTTTTTGCTAGTTCCGGTCAAAAAAGGAAGACCTTTGATATTTGAATTTGATATATGATATTCTAAATTATCATTATCGACATCATAGCCCTCTTTGGTCTTGTCACTGGGAATTCTTTTAACCAGCACGTTAACTCTTTCTTCAGGGACCTCCAGGCCCTCAGGGGGATAGGGGACAGCCAGGAACTCGTGGACCAATGGTAAGTTAAGGTTCATTTCCTGAATATTGGACCTTGTTTATCTGTCACTCATCTTACGATTCTTGTTCTGGAGTTTTACTGAGCTGATCTGCTTGGGAAACCTCTTACAATGACTGGTAAACATTTCAAACGATGGAATAAGTACTTTTTTGCTAGGAGTATAAAAAATGACTTCCAGTGTAAAAGCAATTCGTGCCCTTTAAAATTACTGTTGAATTACCCAGTTCGTTCAGCCTTATATGCCTTTGTACATTTTGTAGGGTTTACCAGGAAAAGCAGGTCTGCCGGGATATCCTGGGCCTCGTGGAGAGACGGTAAGAGTATTGAATACAAGTAGTGTGCAAATTATCTTTCATACTCAAACACATGCTTTCATTTGTTTGTGTGATGAATTTTGTTTCAATTAAAAGAGTAAACGATGAATTTACATAATCGAGTTGTAGACAGCAAACGTAATTTTTCTTCTCGTTAAAGAACAAAAGAATCAATTTATAATTTACGATCATAGGATTTATTAACGGTATCATCCTTTTTCTTGAGATAATTGTGATTGTTTGTCGAGATACCTATAGTTTATTCGTCACTTAGGGGAGATAAGACAAATGGGGATAACAAGGTCAATTCTGTTTCTTTCCTTTTCTGGAGCGAGCTCTCGGTAATGTTTATCCAAGGAGTAGGACCCACTTAAGTTAGCAAATTACAAAACCAAACATAAGATCAACCCGAAATGGGACTGGACTCTGAGCCAAATTAAAAGGCACATGAATGATAAAAGTTCTGTTAACTGAGTTGAACAGCCAGTTCGCCAGCGACAGTCAGTGTTTATTTCGTCGAAGATTATAAGAATCGACGAAATTAGAGTACAAATTGTTTGTTGATTTGTTGAGAATGAATTGTTCTAGTTTAGTAAGATTTCTTGTTATTGTGAGATAAAATGCTTAGAAAATGCCTTAATCGTCGTTGTTATCTGTTTTTAGGGACCGCAAGGTAAAACTGGACCTCCAGGCCCTACTGGTTTGCCGGGTGGTCGTGTAAGTGGATTTGTTTTGTTCTGTTCTGTTTTTTGTTTATTTGTTTGTTTGTTTGTTTGTTATTTTGCTTCTAGCGGTTATTAGTCATTTTTATTTTTTGATTGAAAGAAAATTACATGCATTAGCATTAAATTTAGCAAAGTGCTCTCTAGATTCTACTACCCTCATATTTTCCCTTAGCATAAAACCAATATTTTTTAATATTTTCTCCGGAAATTCAGGGCCCAGCAGGAGAAAGAGGTTCCCCTGGACCCAAAGGAGACCGTGGTCGACCGGTGAGTAAAAAACTTGTGATTCTTATTCAGCTTTATTCCTCTCCGTCGAGACTAACTTTCGACGCCTAAAAAACTGACATGGTCGAGAGCTAAATAACAGTGACGTGAGATTTTAATAAATACAAGGCGGACCGATTTATCCTTTGTTTGAAAGAATAATGGCATGAAAATGATGAGTTTATGAGGTAAAGAGATGGAAAAACTAACGTTTTGTACGCCCTTTTAATGCTTTGACAAAGAACTAGTGACAGAAGTCTCGAACAACTTTTTGTATCTCGTTACTGTGTCCAGTTTACATGAATGATTAACTGAGATAAATCCACATTTTTGTGATCCACTTCCCCAACGACGTTTCTTCAGAGGCCAACCCCTTCAGTATTTCTTCATTGCTTTTCCTCTGGTAAAGAAAGTAAGTTTTCTCTTTCAGTGACCCGATGACAGCATGCAAGAGAATTCTGTCAGTAGTTTCAGTAGTTGACCTAAGGCGTTCGACGCCGCAGATCGCAATGCTGGTCTGGTGGGAAAGAGGATAAACTGTGTATAAAGGTCATTACTGCGTCCCCAGTTTACTTTTTGCAAGTAAGAACTTGATGGACCAGTGTTTTCTGTCTGCTTTTAGGGTGCCCAAGGACAAACAGGTGATCCGGGAGAGTCCGGTAAAGATGGTACTAAGGTGCGTAATTAACTGAATTGCAAAATATACCTGCCTATCATAAGAACATACTAAAAAATATCGTCTTCAAACGTAGTTGATGAAGTGTTAAGTGGAAACCCTACCCAACAAAGTTTGTTTTACTAGGATGCTTAGTCTCAAATTCTTAACTATTACCATATTCCATATACGACTTTTTGGAATAAGGCCATCCTTCTGATTCCTACTGTACAAGCACAGTTATCTCTTTCGTACCCTTAAAAATCAAACTTTTAAATACCTAAATTCCTCAAATTTACAATGAAAAAGCAGATCATCCTCGTATTACCCATTCAGATAGGAAATACACCAGGGAGATCAATTGAAATAAGAACAAAAAACACAATTAGCAAGTGCTATCACTTCAGCTGTTCAATACGGGCCGCCATGTTACCATAACGCCTATATGCGACAAAACTGCTTGAAGACAGCAATGCGTTTGTTGATATCATATTTATTTTCCTATTGTAGGGAGAACCAGGTAAACCAGGAGTGGATGGAAAAGATGGAGCACCGGTAGGATATCTCATTGAGTTAAAGTGTAACATTACCGAAGCAAAAGAAGAGAAAACAAAGGAATTTCAAAAAAAAAAGGAAAATCCATATTAAATACATTTGGGATATCGGATTTCCAAACACGTAAACGTCGGCTAAAAAATAGAGCTGCACCTAGCTTATTTCCAGTCTCTTTTTCATGTTGGATATCAGATTTACATGCTCTTAGCGATGTTTAGTAGTGATGATTAGTTTATAAATTGTTGTTTTAGGGTCAACCAGGAACTCCAGGACCGAAAGGTGCTATGGGACCACCGGTAAGTAAAAGAGTACATGTGACGTAGTGCAGGTAAAACCACGCTTTCGCCTCATGTAAGGGAATCCAAGACAGTCTTGGATTCTGGATTCCAGTTTTTGTCAGGGGAACTTGGATTCTGGATTCCAATCGTTAGTGGGATTACGGATTCCTTGAGCTGTTTTCCGGATTCCAAAACCCAGGATTCTGGATTCATAATCAAAATTTTCCCAGATTCCAGATTCCACAAGCAAAAATTTCCCGGGTTACGGATTCCGGATTCCCTTACATGTGGCGAACGCTTGTTTTAATCATAACGCCCTCCTTCTAGGAGAATAACGACAGAAAACTTTGTTGTAGACGTCAAACGTTTTTTTTTTTCCACCATTTACCTTGCCACTATATGAGGACCTGCTGCTTCTGATCTCAGACTCTTCCTGAAAGTTCGCGATGTGATTTGAGATGAAGATTGCTTGTTAGATGATGGGGGAAATTCGCCATTACGGCAGTTTTATAGTTAAACATTGTCTTTTGATTTATTCCGTGCTCCTTCAGCTTGTGTGGTAACTAAACCATATTCAGGTCTGTGTAAGAACAGCTTCTCACCTCACCCTTCACTTTGTTTTATCCACAGGGACCCGCGGGACTCAAAGGAGTGGAAGGACCTGTTGGTCTCCCTGGAGCGCCAGTAATTCAGCTTTTTTATGTTAACCATTGTAGATTATGTTTTATTTTTGTTGCTACGACGTTTTGTTAAAAAAGAAACAACACTTGGTCCTTAGGCACGAAATAATTTTTATGGCAATTATTTTTGGTATGACATAAGTAGTTTCTATGAAGTTCTACAACATCGCCGTTAACAAAGTAATACTCCATTTTGCCATCTCATTAGGGACCTCAAGGCATGCGTGGACCACCAGGACAACCAGGTCCCCAGGGGTCATCGGTAAGTTCTTTCTCCATCATTAACGATTTGTCTTTAAATGGCGAAGTATTCTTTCCAGTTTGAAACTGTGGCGCTGGAATCTCTAATATCAAAATATTTTAGTTGTAAACGGAGACAATTACAATGTACACATTGATGAATTTATCTTTTCACAGGGGAGGCCAGGTCGTCAAGGAGCTCAAGGAGCACCGGGTGAGAAAGGTTCCAGGGTAAGTGTTATGAATAAGCCCTTTCGCATTTGTTTACCGGGATGATCTTTTAAATAATAACTGTTCTTTTTCTTTTTTATATATAAAATAACTGTCCTTGAAAGGTATTCAAACCAGCAAACAGAAGACATTTTAAATGATTTGGGGAAAATTCAGAAGTGTATAAAAGTGGAAAATGAGACTAGCGGAAGTTCAATTTAAGATACCCCTTGCAGTTTTAAAAGAACTGTTTTCCGACTATTCAACTGACTTATGAAAAGATTCGAGAGTACTTTTGTGCCTTTCCTAACCTTTCACGTTCCCAGGGAGAGGAAGGACCTCGCGGTGAGTCAGGACCCGAGGGAAAACCAGGGCTACCGGTGAGTAATATACTATGGACCTATTTACACCTCCTACATTCTCATATAATTGTAAAGCGATAAAGTTAAGCTTTGAAATGCCTTAAACTTTGAGTTTCTCCTTCAATAAAATGAATCTAGCAAGCCGGCAAAAGGACATGGTGTGAGAATAAGTCGTAGTTAAAAGAAAGAGGAGATTAATCTGAATTTCAGCCGAGAGGTTTGTTTTTGGTGGAATTCTCAGAAAACAAGAGATTTCTTTCGTAATTCTATTGATTTTGAATCTATCTCCTACAGGGTAAGCCTGGCGAGGACGGACCGACTGGACCACCAGGACCGGAGGGAGAGAAAGTAAGTGCTGCCATGTGGATTTACCGCATCTCTGAGAACATTTTCAGTTCTAAGGGCAACGAAAATCGTATTAATTGTACCCGTCAAATATTTTCAAACGAACTCTCCGGAAAAAATGAAATGGGGAAATATGTGTAAAGGGAGTGAAAGACGGAGTAAACAAACCACAGTTGACGTGATTTTGTTTAATTAAATAAAAAACGAGAAACCTTAAAAGAAAAGGGCTGCCAAAATTATTATCCAGTTCTTCGCAAATCCGAATTCTTCCATATATCAAAGGCCGAAATGGAAAGCAACTCAGTTGAACTCCCATGTAATTGTTTCATTTTTTTCGATTTGACCACACTAAAATAATTTCATCCACCAGACCTTTAATGGCGTAACTATTTCTTAAGAAACTGAGAATTTCGAGGGACTGTGAGACTTGTATTATAAAATGTGTTGTTTTTCTTGAGGGCGCGCAAGGAGAGTCAGGTACACCTGGAAAGAAAGGAGAACGAGGACCCAAGGTGATTCACTTCCTTTGTCAACATGTTGGTGAACTAGCATACAGGAAAATGGCCTTCCAAATTATGTTCAATTGAACTGGAAACCATCACTCGACGCGCAACGTCCATTAGCTAATAAAATGTGTCCCGGCGCGTTAGATCTTCAGTCTATTTTTAGATTCCTTCCTCCTTACCTTCTGTGCGAGAGGTTTTGTGTTCCAAGCCCAGCGTGATCTCAATCTTTGTTTGATGTCTTTCCTTTCCGTGTCGCTTTAAGTAGCTTCAAATAGTCGTAAAATGGTTTAATGATGGAGAGAGGAGGTAAAATGATCTCACCGTTGGCGTTAGGTTTTTTAATCAGATGACTATTTGGAGCTACTGGCGAAACATAAAGAATTCTTTACCTTTAGACTTTAGGCAGTTGATCCCCTAGATAAAGAGTGTATCGAGACACCTTGAAGTCGGGAATAATAAGAATTCGACTGCGCCTCGTTTTTCTAACCTCGTTCGTCCATTTTTATATATATATGAGGAATTGGTAATGTAAGGTGTATTAAACACTTGCTTAACTTCAGCCTGATTTTCATTTAAGGGTCCCCCTGGTCCTTCTGGAGCTGTTGGTCCTCCCGGAAAACCAGGGCCTACTGTAAGTACCATTGTCCTTTTTAAAGTTCATTTTGACATGCGTACATACGTTCTTGGAATAGAAGTGTTATTTTTCGCGGAAGATAAGAGGGGGAGGCTGGAATTCTCGAAGAAAAACCTCTCAGAGCAAGAAAGAGAAACAATTACAAACTCAACCACGCGAACCAAACACGGTTCACATCTGTGGAACACGAATACTCGCACCACTGAGCCCCCCTACTCAAACATCGTATATACAAAGAAAGATATAATCTTTAAAATAGGTCTGAGAGGATGCAACCCGTAAGTACTGTCAGATGATATGTACATTTTCACGATATCTCACTTTTCACCCAAAATCACTTTGCACAGGGTCCAGCCGGTGAAACAGGCCCCCAGGGCGCTCCCGGTCAGAGAGGGGAGAAGGGAAATGAAGGAGAGCGAGGATTACCCGGTCCTACCGGATCTTCGGGCGCTCCGGTGAGTAGCCAACCAAATTGTACAAATAACCATGAGCATGCGTAGGTTGTCTTTTTAATCTTAAATAACCCTGAGTCCCCAATAATTTTGTTTCTTTATCTAACAAATGCAATGCCAAATGCCAGCAAGTATATTGTTATCAGAGATAGGAAGATTCTAAAACGCAGAACAGGTAATTTTAACTTAAATGGTAGAATTACATTGATGGAAGTTGATTACGGTTTATCATCTTCGCCTTTCTATGACCTTAATACCCTAGGTTATGTTCAGGAAACTCGTTTTTGTATCTGATATCCACTTGCCCTGCTTCAATGATTATCAGCAGTACTGCTTACTGAATACCTTAAGTGCATCTCAAGATTTTCATTAGAATTTAGGGTCTGGTTGTCTCAGTAGATGTTGACTTTTTTTAACAAAGTTTGATTTAGTCAATTACCATTGTTTCGTTCAGGGTGTTCCTGGTCCAAGAGGAGAGAAAGGAGAGCGCGGACCTAGCGGACCACAGGTAAATATACACCAGTGGCTGACACGCTGCTGTTCACACAAACGTTTGAACATGTTTAAGCGTAAACCTTAAAAATAACCTGAATCACTTTGCTTTATGACGGCAACGGCAACAAAAATTCAGACAAACAAAAGATTTAGGCATGGGTCAAACGTTTAACTTGATATTTGACGAACCTTACGGTAATGAACAAAAGATAAACTCTGTAAGTGCATGGAACGCCTTGGTTCATTTCTTCGCTGACACCGCACGACGTGAAACTTTCTGATGTGGGTTTTCCAGAGGACGTCAAAACACGACGACGAACTTTTCTTTCTTTTTTTCTGAACTTCAATGTGCGCCCTCAGAATTCAACTCTGAGACAATTCGCCTTACAGTTTACACATTTAGGGAGCTGTAATAATACCGTTGTTGATTAAAGGACGCGAATTCACTCTAACATTAACGATTTTACTGTCGTCGCCTACTACGTTGCTTAAAATCTCTAGTAGCTAGAGCTCCTAAAAGGTATTAGTACAGAAGTTAAATGTTCTAAACCGTTAATGCCTACTTATTTTTTTCTTTTCCCTGAGTTCGAAACGTGAGAAATACTCTTTCGTTCTTTTTTTTTTGTATTTTAATGAATTTTTATTTTGTTATGTATTACATTTTTTTTACACACTGACTTATGAACACGTAGGAAAAATACAAAAAAACGGAAAGGAAAACTAAACATTTATACATCGCAGACTAACACACAATTACATACTTACAAAAAAGAAACAAACAAAACAAACCCCAGTACCTTCTTTTCTATTTACATGAAAAAAAAGTAGAATAAAAGAAATAGAAAATAAAGATTAATAAATGAAGTAACGGAGAAGAGATCGTATGCTAATCAGATTTATATTTGCTCCATTTCATATTGTGGGTCTCCAATTGTGGATGTGTGGAAGAGATATTTGTGAATCATATTACCACTCTTTCGTTCTCATCTATTCACTAATCATAACATTCATCGTCTTTTCTTTTGTTATTTATTTTACCGCGGCATTTAGAGCATGTCTTGAGAGCTTTTTAGTTTTTTTTGTTTGACGTAGTAGTAACGAAGAAAGAATTTTGTTCTGTAAGATTTCAGTCTCCTGATTTCTTTCGTTTGTTGTTAATAATAAAGGGATCGCAGGGCTTATCTGGACCACGAGGACCACCAGGGCAAGCAGGTGCTAAGGTAAACACAAAAAATGAGTTCGTCAATAAAGGGTATGGATTTTAGTATTTCACTAAATGTGAAATATGGGATCGTTTCATTTTCGTCATTATCATTTTGACTTTGGTCCAATTGGGAATACCACTGTAACCGGAAATGTTTTTGTTAGGGTGATCAAGGAGAGCCTGGTGATACCGGAAGTGATGGCCGACCAGGAGACAAGGTAACTTAAGCTGCTTCCGCTTCCGTAGGTAATCAGCTTCATTTACAAAATAGGTGACTAATAGTATCCAAGATGACCAAGTAACTCTGCCGCGGGAGAGAGATAAACACCAAACTGTTCTCTGGCAGATTTTTCTGCCTCCCCATCTTCTACAGTGTCACACATTTGGCCATCAAATGGGTAGAAGAGATTAAAAATGGCACTAAAATCATCTGTAAACCTGAAGTGATAATTTTTTTCAGGGAGACCAAGGCCCCAAGGGTGATGCAGGAGCTCCTGGAATACCCGGCACTCCGGTATGTATCAAAGTCTAAAGACAATATAAGACAAGCAAATGCGACGTAAGCTATTTTCCTACGTAGGTGATCTATAGCCACCTTTTAAACGAGATCGCTGGGTGAGAAGCGTCGCTAACTAAGATTTCTTCCGCTGTTAGTCTCAAAGTGAAGTAATTCTTCCCAATGATTCACTGATATCTTCGAGTAGATAAACTTTTTTACAACTCCGTTAGCAGGCAATACTTAATTTAAAGCTTTGGTGGTCTTTCTGTCAGCAGCAATTTTTCAACTCGAAAGACGTATTTAGTATATAAAACAATGTTGTCAAATTCATGTTGGGTAGTAAAGTTAGTACCGGTTAACAGAATACTTTAAATTCCAAAGACCAACTTTTCTTCCTAAAACCCTTTGTAGCCCCGTCAAGATTCGGTCCCTTGGATATATTTTGCTTTCCCTTCCTTTGCTTACTAAGGGGTTGCGCATACATCAAGTACTAGTGTCTTTTCTTCCTAAACTCTGTAACATGTTAACGAAGGTAATCAGGTTTGCTTTCTGAATACCTTTCTTCTTTCGTTTACCTTCTTTCTTAGGGTCGACCTGGTTTGGCGGGCGCGAAGGGTGATCGAGGTGATTCCGGGCCACAGGTTAGTGTCTACGTTGTATATGAGTGGTTTTGTCACGAGCATAATCATAAAAATCCTGTAAACGAAGGAACTTATTTTGCATTTTTGAATTATTTTCTCCATTCCATATTAATGTAGTCTGTAACGTTGACAGTAGAAGAGGAAACTGGAGAAGGGAAAAACCATAGTGAAACTATTTATATGCCCTTCGAATTAGAGCACTACAAGTAGAGGAACCCAGAAATGCCTGCCTTAGTCTTCCACTCTATTGAACTTATTATTTATTGAAGACCTGATTGTATTTCTCTTGCAATAGGGACCTGCCGGGCAGCGAGGTTCCGCCGGACCACCAGGGGCACAAGGACCAATGGTGAGTTGAGACAAAGGATAAGTATATACTTAAGCATTTACCATCGTAGATATACAGCTCCAAGAAGGACTCTTTGAAAAATGCATGCGTTAAGTTTTAACATAACGTTGACTCTGAGAAACAAATGGTTTTAAAAACAGCCCTCCCGTGTTTATTTTCCTTTTTGGCTTTACTTTCATGCGATAAACCTATACTAGTCGGCTAGTTAAGTATCTCTGCTTTATGGACACTCATTAGGGGCGTTATATCGGCTCGTAAGATTATAGATGTTCGTGTACTCTGTACTACATGCATTCTTGACACTCTGTAAGGTAAATAACATTTAGTTTGTAACGCTGTCGTGATTAAATGTGGCTTCAGTTGAACAAGATTTTGAACAGATCATGGCGGACAAACTCTTCCCCAAGCAGATTCTTTTAAAAATGTAAAAAAAAGACGGTAATTCCGTACAGCAGCTTAAAATAATGTAAGTACTAATTTCAGGCTCCTTATTTTAGGGTGCGGTGGGACCACCAGGCCCGCAAGGACCCCCAGGCCTACAAGGTGCCAAGGTATGTCATGGCCTCTGAGGGCCGTGAACTGCTTGTATTGACAAAAATATACGTAAATTGTCGCCCGGATAATTAGTGGAGCGAGAAAATTTGATCATAGTTCTCCAGTTTTCCGAAAATTGCGCTGATACCTATAAGACAGCAATTATATCTATGGGACGCTGTTTTTGCGTTTAAATGTTTGGCGGGTTGTGTCCCAGTTTACCTCGCATTCAATCTAGCTACCAGAGCCCAAGTCTCTGGCCGCGTAACGCGTAATTCACAGCAATTGACTAACCCTTTATTCAAAACAGCTGCTGGTCAGCGATCATTCCAGTAGCGTTGTCAGTTTGTGGAACAGCCTAGATAAAGACCTCAAATTAAGTAAGAATCATAGGGATTTTAAACAGAAACTAAGGCAAACATTGTTACAGAAATTTCTTGATCCCGCGTTCGTTTTGTAGGTTTTAACATTTTATTGTACCTTAGGAATTTTTAACGGAAAATTAGGTAATTTTTTTTCTCCTCTTTTGTAGGTAGATATATATTTCTTAAACCTATAAAATGCATTATAGCTTTGTCTTGTATCCATGAAAAGCCCCTCAGGGGAGTGAACAATAAACTTCTTACTTCTTACTTATTTATCCTTTTTTAAATACCTTTATGCTGAAATCTGTGAGTAACCTTTTTTTTTCTTTCTTATAAGGGAGCTCAAGGCCCGGACGGGAAAGATGGAAACCCTGGTCCACCGGGAGCTAGGGTAATGCTGTTTCTTTGAAATTTGTTTTTGTTGTAGTTTTTCTTTTTCTTTCTTCCATTCTTTCTTCCATTCTTTCTTCCATTTTGCCTTAATATTTACTTTACGCATTTGCGTTGAACCTGCTCTTGGACAAAGGTTACACCAGTTTGTTCGATAATAAAAATATAATTTTTTCATTTACTGGCACCGCGTTGCATTTAAAGAAATATCTACTCTTCCACCATCAAACGTAAGATCGGTTTGATCTTTCTAAGGAAAGTCACGATAGCCAATAAATAATCATTTTGTCTGTTACTGTCAGTTCTTTTAGGTTTGTATAACATTATCATTGACTTTTCAGCATGGAAACTCTAAAACAGTAGATATTTTAGTGCAGATTTATATAATTCCTTATATTTACTTTAGGGTCCCCCCGGCCCTCGAGGAGATGACGGAGTCCCTGGTCAACCAGGGCAGCCGGTAAGTAGCAGCTTGATGGACTTACATTTTTGCCGTCAGGGATGTATCTCACGTAACGTTGTTGCTGTTTAAGGGAGAGCCTGGACCTCGTGGATTCACTGGTTCGGATGGTGATACGGGCGATAAGGTATGGACTTAGCATTTGCTACCAGGCTTTTTCATCGCAACGATTGCCATGAAGGCCCCTGAGTAGGAAAACCTTGATAATTTGTCGTGGAAAATTAATTAGTTAACCGTGGTATTTTTGTCGGAATTGTATTTTATCAATTAGTGATTGAAGAGGTAAATGATTCGCATTAGGTGTTTTCTTCGGAATTTTTGTCAGCATAGCTTTCATTTTGTTGCTGTTATTTCTTCCGCTAATTTTCTTCACGTTTCTATTCATATTGTTTTCTCCGTAGGGTGACCCAGGACCACCAGGACCCCGAGGACCTTCAGGACCTCCAGGACCACCGGTGAGAATTTTGGTTGAAGGTTACATAATTGTTCTCACCAAATACTCAGTAATTTATAATCTTCTGACCGCAAGTTTTATTATCAAATTAAGAAAGGCACTCTTCAAATTTCGCCTGCAAAATATTTACCAGCATAATGTTTTTGGTCAACTTTGTACGATTTTTATCATTCCTATAAACCATGAGGCGTTAAGCGTCAAAAGCAACTAAAACGATGGAGTAAAGTGTTCCTCATTCAAAGTAATTGTCGCTGTCTTCAAAAATAAACTTTCGCAAAGTGTAAGGAATTTTTCTAACTTAAAAAATTTAAATTTTCCTGTTTTCTCTCTATTTGAATTTCTCCCGAATGTAGCCTCAACTAAAAGCTTACTTAAGTCGGTTTGAATTGTTTCCCTTTCCCTGTAGGGATCGAGAGGCGACAGAGGACCTTCTGGAGACAGAGGATCCCCCGGTGCCCCGGTAGGTTATCGTTCTTACTTTCATGTTTGAAGGACTAAAACGAAGTGACACAAACTAGTTTGCTCTTCATACTTCGACTGAATTGAATTGAGGGACTGGAGGACGTGCTTGCACTTCCTTCCAAGTAATGTGAGTGCGTCAAGCTTGGCTGATTGCAAGCGCCTTTTCCTAATGAATTGTGAATAATGAATATGTTTCTATAGCGTCAAATATTGGTAATTAAATTGCTGAAAGATGTTAATCAAAATAATCGTCTCATAGCTGATTTTTAGACCCAATTCTTGAAAATAATTGCAGTTTTTTAGGTTCCATGGTAAAGGGCTCCTTTTCATAAAATGTTTTGACCCCTAACGTCATGGCGCTTGTTTTCCGCTGTTTGTTTTAGGGTGATTCTGGACCACAAGGACCACCTGGAGCTCAAGGACCACGTGGTAATTCGGTAGGAAACTTCTTGTTTGAACCCTCAGACGATCTTCATCGTTACTAGTTAGTATAATTGACCCCTGATGAAAAATACTGATTTCGCGAGGCAATCATTGGTTCTGCTCAGTTTTCAGCGGAGCCACGCAGAGGTGAAATCTTTGGTTTTGATACGCCCCACGCAAATTTTTTAGTGTCGAACTGGCAGCTGAAGTTCAATTTCAGTTCTTGGCGCTCACGCTGAACAACAGGCACAATCTCAACAGCTGGAGATAAATCTCTTCGTTGGCAAAGGCTATTCGACAAGACTATTAGCAGGCATCTAGTGTATGACTAGAGAAACGCCGAAAGCTCCCTTTTAGCGAGGTTGCCAATTTAATCGGCGGTGGCTAGTTGGTAAACTGGCGGATAAGGCGTCTAGTCTATGACTAGAAAAACGCTGCAGACTCGCTTTATTTGTATTAATTCCTTCGGCTTTAGTGGTCGTTGATGTTTACAAAGGGCTCAAGGGGGGTTGCCGATTAATCGGTGGTGGCCAGAAAATCGCGTGGGTCGCATTACTAACTACCCCTATGCCAAGCTGTTCCAGCTTGGCTTAGTCCACTGATCAATCATTTTCGCATACCTTAATACAACCGAGCATGAATATGAATGCCGTTGAATAGATTACTCCTCCTAACAGTTTGGTCTCGGTACCCGTCTTTTTTCGCTGAATACCAACGGAGATTCGATTGGTAATTGACGAAACAAAGCTCTCAATTTCTTTTCATTAAGGGCCTTGTGCTAAAATATACCTTTTCAGAAAAAGAAAACCAGGAAAAATAACGTCATGCTCCTCCTCCTTTAATGAGGAAAGAACTACTTTGGCGGAGCTTTGCTGTAAGCCGAACGTAAGATTTTGCCTTGCACGAATATTTTTTGGTACTTTGCCCCCCCCCATAACTTTTCCAATGGTCCGTCTCCGTCCCTAAAAGTCATGAAAGGGCTGTCATTTCATGACAGTCATGACATGGATGTGTCGGTGTGAAGAGGGTGTAGATAGTGAGCAAAGTCCAAAACAAAGAATAGAAAAGAATGTAAGAGCATTGTTACGTCGATTACCAATCGAGCCTCGGTAGCAAGCTCCTCATCTCCAACTCTATACGTTTTTTAGTTTCAAGTGTCAACGTAAACTTTTCACCTTAACTTTTTTATATAGTTTTCGCGATAGAGCAACGAAGGAAAGTGTTTGTACAAGTTCCCAAACCCTTACTCCACAGTTCCTCTAAGCGGTTCACGGGTGAAGTTAGTTCTTGGGTTTGTAATTCAGTGGTAACTTAAGTCGACTTATACAAGTTGATTCTTTCTTTTCATTAGGGTCCGAAAGGAGAAAAAGGAGATCAAGGTAGTCAAGGGGAGAAAGGAGATAAGGTATAAAAATTAGTTCGTAAAGATCATCTACTGAATAAAACTTTATTTAATTTGCATTGAGATTGCTTTCACCTAATTACCATTAGTGATTTTGCATAAATGAGCTTACATGCAAGACTTTAGTCACCTAGGCTGCTCGGATAGGTCAGCGCTTATACAACTATAGAAAAAAATATACACTCAAGGAGGATTTCTCCTTTTTCTGTTCATTTACGTTTCCTTTTTCCAGGGATGGCCTGGTTTCTTTGGTCCAACCGGAGTTGCAGGTCCTGTAGGCGATAAGGTATGACTTAAGAAATACTAAAATTCAGTCGTTAATAATTTTGCCAATCAAACAACAATTTTATCGATATTTGCCTGCTCCTTGATGCACGTTTTCTAAATTTGGTCAGCGTTAGCTCATTGTGAAAAACAAGCCGATGACAAACGGAGAAATAGTTTGATTGAATGACAATAGCCTTAATTGAGAGATTAAGCTTCGCGTTTACGGCAAACGTGAGATTGAACTTGAGAAATTTTCAAAACGAGAGATAAGCAGATGAAAACAGCTGAAAACAATTCTTATGGATAGAATTGGCGTGAATCTGCCGATTTTCGTGTAGTTATAATGAACAGTAAACGTCAAGTGAATGGAAAACTTTGTCAGGTGGTACGAATACACGTTTGCCGTTTGCCGTAAACGCGAAGTTCAATCTCTCTAATGTATGGTGAAATCTAAGGTAACAACTGTGACTATTTCTCTTACAGGGTGATCCGGGCCCTGCAGGACCGCGTGGGTTCCCAGGCCCTAAAGGCGACAGGGTGAGTATGGTATCTGTACGTAATGACTATACATCACAAAATCAGCGCCGGGGTTTCAATTACATATTTCTCAGTCGCTTCGAATTCATTTTGGTGTTGTTATCGGGAAGTGGTGAACATACCTCAAGTGTAGGCGAATTTCCCTGGAGTTGATTTCTTGGGGACCCGAGTCAAGTTCAGAAAGAGAGAGAAAAATCGTCGACGCTTACTAACGTGATATTAGGCATTTTCACGTGGTAGTCGTGCAGTGACGGCAAAGAAATGTACAAAAAAGTGTGACGCACGTGAAAAGTTGTTGTTGTTGTTTTTTCTCAATAAAACTATTACTTTTTGGCCGTTCTTTTTGCCGTCGCCGTCGTCGTTGCTAAAGCTACCTAATGTTAGCACTGTTTAGATAAATGCATTTTTACTTTATCCCAGGGAGAAGACGGATCCGATGGACCTCCCGGCCCACCAGGACCTTCGGGGCAAAGGGTGAGTTGTTTTACTATAAAAATGCCCTTAGTAAGTAGCCAGCGAATTGACCTCTAAATTTCGGCTCCGGTTTTCATTCTGACGATGTTTATTTCGTAGTAATACTGTCAGATCAGAACAATTTCATTTCATATCGCATGTCTTGTATTCACACTTAAGACATGACCAAAGTCTCCAACGGTTGTCTTACTCCGTAATTGGCAATAGAAGAGGCACGGGATGGCGTGATGTTTTATCAACCGAGTTGATGTTAATTGACCACCTGTAAAAATATTAAAGGATGGCGTGGCTGTTTTAACTCAACCGAAAACAGTTGGTTTTAAAAATTGACCACCGTAAAAATATTAAAGAACAGATTTTTAGCGTCTCTCCCCAGTCTCGCTCTCTGTTTTCAGCCTCATTCCAGACCTTTTGTTGACTGCTCGCGCGTACTTGAATACGCAAAAATACGGACTGTTTTGCAGTCTACGATTTACAGGTAAAAAGAAATTTCAGCATCCTGTTCATAAAACCAATTTTTGTCTTTAATCCCCCACCATTCAGCAGTAGCACTACCTTCGACTCTTTGTTACTCGAACCTGGCGGTATCGATAAAACTGTTGATAACCTTTCTGTTTTGATTTTTTTTTCTGTGCTGTAGGGAAGAGCTGGCTTACAGGTTTGTAGTGTCTTACATTTTCTGTTTTAAAGTTTGTTTGGTTGCCTCGCCTGTCTAGTCTCTAGTACTAATTCTGTTTTCGTTTTCTCAACTGATAGGGTACCAAAGGAGATAGAGTGAGTAAACAACGCTTTAAATATTTCATAAACCTTTGAGGTCAAGAAACAGGGTGGGCCAGGGTTTTGGAGTGAACTATTACAGGGTTCAGTTAAATCTGGTGTACGGTATACGACACGTCTTTCGTATTGGGGCATTTTGAAGAAAATCCTGGATATTTTGGGGTATATTAGAGAAGGCTTATTCGTGACAACATTTCCAGGTTTCCTTTCATCTGGGTTTTTAATTCAGTTAGAAGCATTTTTATGTCTTGCCGGAGTATGTCTACCTACGCTAGCATTTTTTGGGACAAGCGGCAAATAAAAATTATATTGAGCAAGAATAAAATGTTTAATTAAGTCTAATTGTGTTTAAACTCTGACGAAGGCTCGAGAAGAAACAAGAAATTGAAGGGTCAAGTTTAGATCTGTGGCATAAAGTGACTTTCATCAATATGTTAACTATTGTTTGTTTTATTTTATTTCTATTTTGCATAGGGAGCTCAAGGAGAGAGGGTGAGTTAATTTGGAGCAAATACAGCACTTTATTAAAAATGAACCTATGAACCCTAAGGAAATATGCGTCCATAAAGGAATTTTTTTGTTAGTTTTCTTTATCGCTTTGAATTTTCCACGCCTTTGGTTTGTTGGGGTCAGATTGCTAACCAATAAGCGATGTGTAAAGATATAGAAAGACCGAAATGGGCGAATCAGTTACTTTTATTCTGTTGTTGTTGTTATTGTTTTTTTCTGCATGTTGTCTAACCTCGAGCGTTGTTGCTTTTGTTCTCATTGTAGGGTGACCCTGGAAATCCAGTAAGTGAAAAATATTCCCTAGTCCTCGGTTTGAAGCTTTATATATGTCGTTTCTTAATTTTGTCCTTTATTAAAAATATTACCATACCAAAACAAAGGAAAAATATATTTAGAGAAAAGGAGAAAGTTGAACCTTAGCATCTTTATTCATCACCTCACACGTGAATGGGACTGAACTTGGGGGGTTCAAGGAGAAAATTGTCGAAGTTCAAATAGCCTGCGAGCAAGCTCCCCATTTAGTGGAGCTGTGAGAAGTCACGCGAGAGCAGCACGCGAAAGGAAACGCGAGTGCGGGAAGCGGGAAAAGAAAGGGCTCCGCCCCTCGCGGCTCGCTTCGCTCACCATAAATGGAGTACTTGCTCGCAGGTTAAAAGGGTCGAGACACTGATTTAGTTATTTAATTTCATTTTTATTTGCTTTTTTTTAGGGATCACCCGGGCCACCGGTAAGATCTTCTACTTTTATTTGTTTTTCGTTTTTGCGTCAGCCTGTTTTTATTTGTTCCTTTTACAACTTAAAAAGATTTGCTTACCCTTGTATCGTTTTCATTTAAACAGGGACCTCCTGGAGACATTGTAAGTAGATTTTGTTGAAATAGGTCATGTTTAATAAGTTTAAAAGTTCTTTCTTTTTAATTAGAGTCTTGCCATGTTCTAAGTGAGTTTTGTTACGTACGACCGACTTTGTTGGTGAATTATTATCAAGTCTTCTCTTATCAGCAGAGGATTCTATAAGTATATAAAAGAAGATCTAAAAAAAAGCCAACAAATAAATTAACAGTTCTTTGCCGAAAGATCTGATCATGACCATTGATGATAACTCCTCTAGGCCAAGAGTTTATAGCGTCTTTATATCCCTCCTTAGTCACCAGTGGATGATATTATTTCTTACTCTTGCTTTTCTACAGAGCTCGTATCTAAGCCGAGGCTATTTAGTGGCTCCTGGTGGAATACAGACCGGTGCTGATAAAGGAAACACCAGGAAGCGACGATCGGTGGATTCTTCGGATTCTGAGACGTCCGAGTCACAAGGACTTATTCAGTCACTAAGAGATGAGATCGAAAGTATTAAACGACCAAGTGGAACACAGAAAAACCCAGCACGAACTTGTAGAGATCTTTATATGTGTAATGGAAATATTAATGATGGTAAGTATAGCCTGTGAACATTATCCCGAGAGAGGGTGGTGAGAGGCGCAGGAGGCTCTCCCCCTCCCCTTCCCTGTCTGCTCGCGCTCTCTAGGTTTCTCTTTGTCCTGTAGCACACAAGAGGGCCTGTTTACGGAGCGCCGATGCTAGAAACGTCCATACTATATCCCGTGCTAAACTATTTGTTTTTCTTGTTGTTGTTTTGTTATGTTTTTTAATGCATTGATATTGTTGCCTTATTTTAAATGAAATAAATGATTGATATCATTTTTTTTGTGTGACTGCAAGGTTTGTACTGGATCGATCCTAACCACGGTTGCAGCGGAGACGCTATTCAAGTATTTTGTAACTTCACTGGTGGAGGACAAACCTGTATACATCCTGACGTCAACACGAAACAAGTGAGAAGGACTCCTTTGTCTTTCAAAGTTACGAAGTTAAATGTCTACAAATACAGCATACTGTTTAGTTTGTTGTTTTATCCTCCAGTTTCCCCAGGGTTTACTTCTTGGAATTCCCCCGTATAAAAGCTATCTAGGTATGTTCCGCCCGACCCGAGAGGGTATGGTTCTTCCCCTTTTGGTCTGAAGGAGGGAAAGGTTTTGGTTTTTCTGGTAACAGGGTCTGGATTTGAGTATGTCTTTTTATCATTTTTCTGCCGAGAAAAGTGGTTTTGATGTCTAAAATTCAGCTGGAGGAAAATCACATATTTTGGTCTGAAATAAGAAAGCTTCCGGGAATCATGCCACACACATCTTCCTCCCCACCCCAGGGAATTGCCACGGGAGATTCACTCATTAGTTTCTTAAACAGTCAGATGAGTTAAGTGTATAGTATAGTTTAGTGGGTAGCTTTGACGTGAAAGCAGTTGAGTCATGCCTATAACAGTCATCACTTTCATAGTTGATATATGGAAATCTCCAGGACCTGATTGTTCAAAAGTTGGATAGTACTATGCGCTGGATATGTCACTATACAGTAGACAAGTATTTGGAATAGCAATTGTCTCTCATTCACGTATTAGAGAATTATCCACTGAACAACCTTATCAACCTTCTAAAGAACGATTAGTCAGCCCGCCTGACTAGTCCCATCGGTTTGCTTATGTCAGAGAGCAAATTCACCGCTTTTTAATACTTTTTTTAATAGGGCCCTAACAAGAGATGGAAAAAGTTAACAGGAGCTGAATGGTTCAGTGAATACGAAGGTGGTTACGAAGTAAGGACAAAAATCAGTCACTATCATTATCGTGCTTAAAATTTCGCTTAATCCTGGGTTAAACTTAACCATCTTTCTAGGAACTGAGCTCAGGACGGCAGAAAGAAGAGGATTGCAAAACGCTTGAGTGTGACAAACGTGACGGGGCCATTATTTGCGTGTTTTGTCAGGAATTCAATTAACATTGATGTTTTTTGCTCTTCTACAAAAAGATTTGTTTAAAAGAATGTGAAGTTTGGCGGAAGGTTTTTTCAAACAAAATTATTGTCACGCTTGTCACACAAGGTTTGCCGTCGTCTTTCCTCACCCGTCCTTTTGCGTAAGTTCACTAATATTAAAGACAAGAAAGAAATAAAACTTGATACAGGTCACTTTTTTTTGTGGAGATGGGGCGGGAATATATGAAAAAGACCCGTCATTTTTACCATGCCTAGCAATGCAACCATGACGTTTTATCTTTGAACTATATTTTAGATTTCTTATACTGGAGTGGGTAAGACACAGCTGAATTTCTTACGACTACTAAGCGAAAAAGCGACACAGATGATCAATATTACCTGCACGGGATCACAGGGATGCTTTGATAGAAACAGTAACATTGTGGAAAAAGCCATCAAGCTTCAAGGAGCCAACGATGGTGTATTATCTTTCATGAAAGATGACGACTCAAGCATTAAGATCACACAGGTAATCGTACAAAGTCATTTTTACTGCGCTTTTCACAAACGTGCGAATTCTGAAGTTCAAAAGCCAACTGACGATTGTGTTTTTCACTGCCATCAATCATCTTAACGGACCTCTTACAAAACTTTACATCAACGCGTTCAATAGGTCATGGTCTGTGATTTGTGATTGGTCGATTTCGATCCGTTTTGTGTTTCAAGGTTCGTTGCTTGTGATCGTAATTATTATTGACGTCAGTGAAAAGCGCAATTGGCCGCTTTTGATCTTTAGAGTTCGCATGTTTGTGAAAAGCGCAGTAAATCTCTGTGTTATCTGCTTCCGTGTCAAATGTGTTGACAAATTCCGAGAAAAATATTTCTAAGGCTTGGCGGCTTGGCCATTAAATCTGTAATCAATATTGTTCCCCAAAGATTTTTTTGCATACTGCTCCACTGTCAACACTACTTTCATTTTGTTCTACACTAACTCTACACTTCCGTTTTATTGTGATGTCGGCACTTGATATGTTGTAACATACAAATCCAAGAGTTATTTACTTGTGGCAGACCGATATTTCTTTTTCGCCGGCTAGCGCAATTTTGTGCAAGGTGTTCTCGGTTTTGGGCTTCTTTGAGGACTGGGTATGAACTGGAAAAGTTTGCTTTTCTAAAAAAGTGCAGATTAAATTTCAACTTCCTCACAAACCCCGTCCACCTTGTTTACTGACCAAAATTTCATGAATTTCTCAAAACGTGCGAAATAGTCTTTTTTACTTGGATTTTTATTGTAACAATTTTACAAAGCCTAGAAGACCACAGGCTGCAAATGCAACGTTACTCGTAAATCTGCTTTGTAATACGTACATCTCGTTTGAATTGCAGGTTCGCAAAGATTGGAAAGCTGTTATCCAGGTAGAAACCGAGGACCTCAATCAAATGCCTATAGTGGACTTTGCCCCCGGTGAATTTCTGACATCGAATGAGTTCGGTTTCGAAGTTGGGCCCATCTGTTTTAGCTAGTGCTAATGTACTGGAGATACCTTTTTCTTAACTTAATTCTCCAGAAAAACCCACTATTAAAGGTTGTTTTCCTGTTTAACTAGTTAGTTTAGTTATTTTGCATAGTATTGGTAGAGCGATTTTCGTATGACCTTGAAAAATGGTTTCGGTAAGTGTTCGTTATCTGTTTTATCAGCCAATGGATGAAAAGATCAAAACATGGCCTCTTAGTTTTCCCGCCGAAGGAAACCCTAATATGGAGTAGGCATTGTTCGATTGGCCAATCGTGTTGCAGTATGACGTCAAAGCGAAGTATGGGTTGGTTTCTAGAAAATTCTCGAGCATGAAGTTTTTTCACCCGAGTGTTCGCTAACCAACCAAAAGCCACCCGCTTTTGTATGTGTTCGATAAACCAATCAAATCGCTCTATTTCTGTTCGTTTGTTGTTTCTGTATTGTTCGCGCGTTTTTATTTCAAGGTCATACGAAAATCGCTCTAATATTTAACTTTTGGACCATCAGTTCGCTCTGAAAGGCAATGACACAAATTGAGAGGCTTGTCAGCGTATGTACTATACCTCATTTGATATTTCCCAGGGCTTATAAACAGGAAAACATGAATAAAGGCAGCGGGTGTTGTTTGGCAGGTGTTCAGAATCTCGTCCAACAAAACCTTCAGTAAAATAAATATTAAACGTATTTAGGATACATTTTATTAAAGACCACGTTTTTAGACTTTTCTGTCATTTGTTGTAGTATGAATAAATTATGAAAACTATGAAATAGTTCTTTTCTTTAAAATAATGAAATCAACGTGCGATTTTGTGTTGGACATCGGGATTACCTGTCCTGCTCGTTCCTTACACAGTATAAGTTTATCGTACGAGAAATGCTAACGAGAAGCTAGATTTGACTTAAACGGTACTTAGAAGAAACATATCAAGCTCCTACTGCCTGACAATAAATGGTTCTTTGTCGGTTATTTAGGGGAGATTAAAAAGTGCATGAGGATATCCCCGCGACTTTTCCGAAATATCGAGGAGCGTTACGCAGTTGGAAACTCCCTCAGTTCGACCAATCGGGTTCCGATTTCACCAACATGAGGCAAAAATAAAAACTTTGCCATATTTTGTGCGTAAAAAGCGATGTTTGTAAACTTTTCTTTCTTTTCATGGCCAGGTTTATTTTGTCGCTTTTGGCCGTGAAGTAAGATTTTATTCCTAAAAAAGTAACAGTGTTAGAGTACATGGGTATGGCTGGGTTGGTCTAACTTTCGTTTCAACACACATGCAGCAACGACAAAAATCCATAACATAAGGTGAGTAACTGGCCACTTGGTCACGAATTCAACCAAATCCAAAATTGCAAAGAAGCAACGGATCAGAATTGTAGTTGTTTCACCTGTCAGGTGTTCATTTATGAAATTTTATTCGTTTTCTACTTTCCACAGGAAAAGAAAAACAAAACCTTTGGCCATATCAACGGAAGGCATGATCACGAGCCAAAAATTGGCACGGAAAAATGTGATTCTGAGTTGCGTCTCTCGCTCGACTGCTGGGGCAAACCAACGTACTAAAACAGTGAACAAATTTAGTTGTAGAACTTTGTTCTACGGAAGTCAACAATACTTTGATTCCACCTGCGGAAATGTAAATATAGTTCGTAAAGGAAAAACCAAGTTCTATAGCTTTTTTATGAGTCATTTTCTGGATATGTTTACACGATGAATGATGTGTTTGTTATAATGCCTACAACTAATGAAAAACTATATCGTATTATTTTAATTCAAACAGCAATAACGGGGAGATAAAATCGCATTATTCAGGAGATGATGGATTGAGACACTTTCATGCGCAAAAAAACAGATCAACTGGTTTCCTTTCACGCGATTGCCTAAATTGTAAAGCGTTGGTTTAAAAGCGGCCGTGTCGATCAAAGCTTCAGTACTGTTCAAAGTACTACACTACTTGATTCAAAAGATGTATTTTAAAGCCTTGTTTCTTTTCTCGTGCATCGTTGCAGCATGTTGGTCGGCCAAAGTCAAATTCAGCGGTAGGTATTGAGATTTCGCTTGTGTCTGGTGTCTATGTCTTATTAAAACTTCTCAGAGAGTGGCCGCTATAACTTGAATTTAACTTACTGTAAACCACACTAATCGTGACAGGATTCCACTTAGTCCACTAGCGATGAATATGACGCACCGCCCCAGCAGTCTCTTGCATTTAAATTTGATCAATTGTTTGCATTATTAACTAGCAAAATAGTTCGTTTTGTCTTCAAACCACGAGATACGTACCAGTTTCCTTAACTTAAGGCGCAAAATCTTACCTTGCCTTACACTTTCCAGAAATATTGATTTTAAAAAAAACTGAACATGCATAAAGAAAAAGTAGGGTGCGTTTATCCGGAAAAATCGAAAAGGCTTTAGAGTTCTTTACTGGAAAATTAGGTGTACGAGTAGATTTATTAAGCATTAGATCGATGAAATGTACTGACATAGAGGTGCCGACAGAATCAATCCGTCCTTTTTCATTTTCAAAATGTCTGCGGTATTGTTTCCTTTAGCAATGATTCCCATCTCAACTCAATGGAGTTTAAAATATCTCAATTGCTGTTAGTATAGTTTCGGTGTTTCAAGGGGGCGTAGACAATCGGACAATTAAGTCAATAAGTCTCATTTCATTTAGTCTCGTTAGCACCCAAAAATTCGTTTTAAAGCTTCGTCTTGTAAAGGTACGGAAAAACGGGCAACAAAAAACGTGCAACTTTTCTTGCAACATTGCTGCATAACAGGTTGAATAGCGATGTTGCGCGTTTTACCAACCTACGTTCAAACCTGTTAACAACCTGGGCCCAGTTGTTCGAACGCCGGTTAGCGCTAACCTGGGGTTAAATTTTAACCCAGGTTTCTTTTTCCTTTTATCAAAAGCTCACTATCGGATAATTTTCTCTATTCTCTTTAGAGTATCCAGTCATCAAATTGTAGGCAAAGAGAATTAAACTGAATTTGCTTTTTAAGCTCTTATATCCGAGTTCAAATTTCGCACTAACCGTGGGTTACCTTAACCCAGCTTCGAACAACCCGGCCCTGATTAGTTGCAAGACAGGTTTAATGTGGGTGATAATACGAGCAACATCTCTATTCAACACGTTTTGCAGCAATGTTGCAAGATATGTTGCACGCTTTCTGTCCCCCTTTTTTCCGTACCTTAAGTTTGAACAAAACTGGACTGTGAACCTTTGTCTGTGATACAGTAGAACCTCTACTCAGGGGACACCCATCGGACCGAGGCAAGTATCCCTTGAATAGAGAGGATCGACACCTCTCTTCCGGGGTTTTTTAATGATTAGCCAACAAAGTCAATAATTTTATTATTCTGCCTCGGAAACTGCTGCAGTCATAATTATTTGAAGCAGCTAGATAATGTATAAAGAATCGAGATGAGCTTTTCTAAGCGATATTGTGAGTTGAATTCCCACAAGTGCAGTACATCGCTTTAAGTGAGATAGTTCATGTTGTGAAAGCTGTCATCATTGTGACTTGTGCTCTTTGTGGTCCGTCACGCTTTGAGAGTCGAGGTGCCCTCTGAAAGGGGCCCAGAAAAAGTGACCCTTTCCCTTGAATCGAGATGGAGATGTTCGTTCAATAGAGGTAACAGTTACAAAAATTATGTGTTCATTTTTCAGGGACAAAGTTTTGTGTCCCCTTATTAAAAGGTGTCTCTTGAATAGAGCTAGGCGTTCCAAAAGGAGAGGTGTATTTGGAATAAGGAGATTTATGTTCAAAATGATAATAAAGATTTACTTTCCTTGTCATTCTACAAAGAACTAAAATGCCAGAGCGTTCCTGCTCCGAAAAATGGTGTACTGGACTGCGAAAAGGAAAGGAATAGTCAGGCAGTACGATGTCAACTCAAGTGTAACCAAGGTTATGACGTCACATACCTTGCTGCTGAATACTATGTATGCAACGAGGACGGAAGCTGGTCCGCTGAACCGTCATCAGCGGGCACGCAATGGCCGGACTGTAAAATATACAGGTTGGTATAATTATTTTTTGGTGCAGAATTCTTTTTGTCCTTTAACGTAACCGCAATGGCGTCATCTCAGTCTTGCAATACAAGTATGCCTGAGAATTTCAGGAACATCTATGGGAATATCGTAAGCATAGGAAAAGGTATAGCCCTTATTGCCATCCGTTTTGTTGTTGCACAGGTACAACAATTCGTTGGTTTTTTTTTTTACATATTTTTTTTAGGAAACAGAAAACACTTGAATCAGTGTGGAGAACCAAAAGAAGTCAGTTTCTTAATTTACAAGCCCTATGCTTACTTCGCCGGTCGTTCTTCCTCTGGTTTACTAACAAATCAAAGATTGCGACTGCTCACAAGCGAATAGCTAAAGACACGAATTTTTGCGACGGGCTAGTCAATGAATCATAATATAAACAAAATACTCTCACTGTTTCATTTTCTAGTCCTGATTATATAAGGAGTCTATTTGTCATCTGTTATATTGTTCTCAGTAAGCCCGAGTTCGATTCCCGACCAGACCAATGTGCCATCACGGCGGCCATGTTGGTGTCCCAAACCCCAATTTTATTATGTAAACGCTCTCCTTTGTTTCTTCTGGTCACGTGACGGTCTAACTATGTGAATGAATTTGGACAGTCCCAGTTTAAGATTTGCGTCTCAGCCAGTCCTTGCTCCTACCACAAGGTTTTGTTTACGCCGCACCAGAACCATTCCTTTCCAATATGTGACACTCCTCTTTCGAGATCTACGCGACGGAGTTTCACTGCGCACCGAAACCATTCTTATACGTGAATAGAAGCCCTATTCGGTATATTGTGAACACAGCTTTAAAATAACTGAGGAGAAGGTGCTGACTTTGTTTCACATTTACAATTGGTTAGACCGTACACTTACGTGTAATTCGACTGACTCTACTGAACGTAAAAGAACCACGTAGAAAAAAAGACTCTCATTCAGTGACCACATGCACGCCGCCTGAGATGAATAAGGGCCTGTTTACATGGAGGTGGGAGAGCCCAGGCAGGTGAGTTAACCCGCTTTGGTGGGTAACCCGCCTGTCCACATAATCTCTCATTTTAATTTGATCACGTTTACATGATAGGTGGGGTGACCCGCCGCATGTTACCTCACCTATATGGGTTCCCCCACCTCCATGTAAACAGGCCCTAAGAGGTGTAACGTATTCTACATTGTAAATTTAATAATTGTAATTGAAGTTGTTTACCCAAGGAGCACTTAGGAGTTCTTAGGAAACTCGTTGAAACGTGTCTATGTGTTCCAGATCGAATTGGATTTGGAACTGTTGGCTTTTAAGGAGAGGGGAAAACCGGAGTACCCAGAGAAAAACCTCTCAGAGCAAGGGAGAGAACCCACAACAACTCAACCCACATGTGGCGTTGTGGTAATTTCTTCTGAAGATGTTTGTTGGAACATACGAAACGTCAAGTTAAAGTTTTTTTCTTTCCAGAAATGCGTTTATATTTCCTTATGTTTATCACCGCAGTTTGCTTTTTGTTTCTTCTTAAGCTGAGATGGCCAAAAAACAAGAGTATCTACCATTGACAATTATTGACTATTGACTATTCAAGGGCCTTTGTGGCTGTCTTTAAACAGGGTGGAGATTAAATATAGCTGCTTTGCTGTTTTTTTCTTATTTTTCAGCCGAGGAGAACCACTTCCTTGAAGAAACTGCACCACTGTACCGCATTCATGTTCATTGACAAGTGTCAGATCTACGACGACGTTTTTCGTCGGAACTGAAATAACCCTGAATTTGAGTAACGGTCAAAACTGACTTCGAATAAATGTTAGACGAACAGTTTTAATACTAATAAAATACTAACTTTGATTTAGTAACTTCACAAAATGATGATGTCCTTCATTGTTTTAAGACAACTAAAGCTACGTATTACGGAAAAGTTCTCTATCTTTCCACCAATTTAGTTTGCTTTTTCCCCTTCCTATGTATTAAAGTGATAAAACTTTACCAAGATTTGTTTTTGAGTCACAAAAAAAGGCTAAGGTCTCAAGAGGCACTGGTCCTATTAAAGACGTTCATTTCTAAGAAAACACTGCGTTAGTCCTAGAACGGATCCTAGGAAGCGTGCTTACGACATCCACGCAGCTTTTCACCGCTAGTTTAAGTGCAAACAGTAAGAGGGCAGTTTCCCAGAAACGTTTAATGACCCACAATTTCTGGGTCACTAGCATGTTTTGGGTTTCAAATGAACTTGCAACACGAACAAAATGATAGAATCCACTCCTTCAATGAATTCCAAATGTTTTGTGTTAATTTGTCGGGGAGATACCGATTGTAGGGTGTTTTTAATATCCAGTTTTCCTTAGAATGTTTATCATTCTTTCTCCAAAGTACCATTCTTTAATCATTCGTACTTTTACCTATAAAATGTATAGAGGATGTTTCGTATTCTGCGAGGAATATAAAGGCCTACAAAGTAATGAAATGCAGTCTCGGCGGGTTCCGCCATATTGGACAAGGAATCTTGGAGATAACTCACTGCCCACCAGCAAGCAACTAGACATGCAGTCGAGGCTGCCGCGCAGCATAGGGGCAGCGAGAGAACTAGGACTAGAGCGAAGAGTCCGGCGCCCACAAGAGAAGACTCTGCTATCACGAAAACGACAAAGGAGACAAGGAACATTGCCAAGACAAACGCAAGAAATATCATGCAGGGAAATGAGCCTGCAAAAGCTGCAGTGCTCACAAATAGAACTGTCAGCGGTCTTCGCCTGGAGAATCTGAGCAGCCATGAAAGGCGGGAACCTCGCTTGTTGATTGGTTGCTGTTGTGTCTGCGAGTAATGAGGCATTTTTTCGGGATTAGCTTCTGGCAAATGAAACCTGACACGTTTGTGGCTTGCGTCAGTTAAACTGTCGTAATTTGCAATGTCTTGAACTTCACTGTCCATCACCAAGAAGGTAGAAGACAAAACCTGAAATTGAAAAGTCGAGAAATGAAACTGAAGCATTTAATAAAACAGAAAGATCAATGACTCCCTTCCCACTGTCCTTCCTTCAGCTAATTTTCATAATCAGACAGAGCTCACAAAATGGAAAGATCGACGTCATTCGTCCAATTATTTATATATATAATACTTTATCCTGCAATGTTTTACTTCTTGGGTTCTTCTTAATGTCAGTCGTCAAAAATTATTATGGATTTAAAGATTGAACGTGTGAAAAAAGCAAAAAGCGTTTTGTGAGAGGCTGAAAAAATGGCAGACAAAGGCAAAGAGATTAGCCGACTATGAATTACTGACTGAAAAAAAAAATCCCAGAAGACACAAAAAGAGCCATTTGAAGAACGGCAACTGGTTCTTAAAGAATATCTAACAGAAATAACGTGAGCTCGTATCTTAAAACTTCCTGGGAAATATATAAACATGAAAACATTGTATGGAAGGATGTTATCAGCCTAGAAACCTCTTAAATAGATATTAAATAAAACAATTATTGAATTCGCCTGTCTTATAATATGAAGAATTATACATTTGTCCACTGAGGTCTTCGGTTTAGGCGGATAACACCCTCCTCGATCTATGTTCTTTAGTCAGACTCATGCTCATTTTGCGATTGTTAATTATTACAAATGAAACTTTGATATGGAAACACTTGTAAATACAAAGTTGCAAAATATGAAACGCCGAAATAAATGAATTAATTTATTAGCTAATACAAAAATTAAAGTTAGTTTTGACCGAAAAAATATACATAAAATATTGTAAAATTTAAGTACAGCTCAAAGGTTATTGATAGAGTCGTGATACAATGCTCGTTTTCAGACTTATTGTTTTCGTGTTTGAATTTTAATACTGTCACGTCAAGGCGGCCGTCACACTAAACGTGATTTTGTGAATGTCTAAAATGTTTATCAACCAAGCGACATTATTTGTTTCGAAATTTCGTTTCTTGTACGCTTTCAGAGGAAAAAACTCTTGGTATAATTTTGGAAGGAGTTTAATCTCATTTACATGTCCGCGTAATGTGGCACGTTTTCAGTTGTGCACTTCAACGAGCTTCGGAAAAAACTACTTACCGCCGCTCAAGTCGCATTTTTAAGACAAAAACTAAAGAAGGTAAGGTTGGATATTAATTTCTATTTTCTGTTAATCTTTATTACAAAATTTTACGTCATGGGCATTTATAACGTTCGTAACCAAGTAAAGCCCTAATCAATTGATCTTGAACGTTGAGAAAATGACAGCAGAGGCTGCAACGATGAATAATACAATAGATCTATAATAAACAATTAGATGACTATTTCCGAGGTGGAAGAGTAACTTTATTTCCCGCCTCAGAAGTTTTTCCAGGGATCATACATGAAGTGCTTTGTTAGAGACTTACTATATATAGCCTGCAGAGAAAAACTTCGACGAATACAAATTTATAAAAGTCCGGAAGGTGACAGAAATCTCAGCTACCTGAAGTGGAAGTCTATATATTTGTTATCTAGCTCGTATTCTTGTCTCCACAACCCGTCGTTTTCTCTGCTAGCGTGGTCTTTGAAGCCTCTGGGATTCCGGAGGCGAGAATGATCTGCACGTGAATAATGAATGTGGACGTCACAATCACAGCGTAAGGGCGCGCATTTAAAAATAAATTCAGGAAAGAGAAGCAGATTTTAAAAGTGTAAGAGGTCCAAGAGTAATTTGCCGGCGATTTCGTGGGTTTGAATTAATACTCTTTGTGACTGACTTACTAAACTAATGCTGCAGAGTCGAACCTCTTCATTACAAACGATTCCACGGGACATAAGCCTTCCTCAAAGAGGCTCTATAGAACTTGCCCCGGTTGTTCAAACGTTGGATGACGCTATCCACCGGATAAATCGCTAACCAACCGATCAGTATTTGGAAAACCGTGAATTGCGTAATCCGAGTCCAAGTTCGAGTTATCGGGGTTCTACAGTATATGAAAAAATACACGTCGCTTTTGTGTTACCTGTGGGAAGTCCTAGAATACAGTACTTGTTTTGACAATGATCGAGGGACTGAAAGATCAGAACATCCCTTCCTCATCCATGAATATTTCTCGACGCACTCAAGTTAGTGACGTCACAATCGTCTAACGAAGTTGATTTTTCTAGCCTGTGTTATCATTGACCAGCGGGCCACATTCCGGCCTGCTTGTTAGGAGCAACTCATAGACCTTTCCCGCATTCCTGTAAACAAAGGCATCAAGTCGAGGCTCGGGTGGAAAGAATGCAGTGGTTTGCATGAAATTGTCCACCGGAGCCTCGTCCTCATTTCTTTATGTTTGCTCACTGGAGCGCAATGCTGGAAAGGTCTATTTCAGGAATTTTCATTGATAAATTCCTTGAGGTGAAATTCCTCTGTAATGTATTTTTTACGTGTAGACGTACGAAAATTTTACGCGTGTTCAGGTTTGTGTAAAATAACGGCAATGTATGAAAGCTCGCGCGTAAATGTAAACGTTGAACCTCACTCAACTTTTACGCTTACGTGGGACTTTCATACTTTGCTTCAACTTTATTTACGCGTGAAAAATATCAAGCGACGGTGGAAATCCACCCTAAGGCGCCTTACAGTGCCTTACGTTTTTCTTGAAGGGTATTTTATACAGTAAACCCCGAGACTAAGAACTTGGAATTTTTCCAAGTTAGCGTAAACAGGTTCTTATTTAAATAGCAGTTAGCACAAGTGTAAGCTATTTAGGTTCTTACTGAATAGGTTTTTATTACACTAAAAAATACACTATAGCTAAGAGTATTCAGTGGTTCAGCTTATTCCTCACATAAAATCTGCATACCAAATTAGAAGTTGTGTAAAAATGACCATAAAAAGAAGAACTCAAGCAATAACAATTTTATTTGATTTTAAACATTGGCATTTACATCGCAGTTGGAGTGATAAGGCACCTATGTCTCCAAAGAGGATTTTGAATGTTGACTTATCTTATTTTCTGAAGAGTGCAGAATTTTTTCATAGATTTTAGAAAATAAGAACCTGTTTCAAATTTTAGGCTAAACAGGTTCTTATATAGAGGGGGCTCAACCAGCAAATTTTAGTCGCGGGGTTTTACTGTGTGCTGCCTTGCCTTCAACTCGCAATCTTTAACTTAATGTTCAGATTGCTGTCCTATTCTAAGCAATCAATGCTATCGCCTCCTACAGTTTCTCATTGGTTAATATTGAAATGACAAATATGGAAATACAAATCAAATTTGCCGCTAACAATAAAATACAACTATTAGACACCACTGCCTAAGCAACAGGTAAAAACCTCCCGACCTTTGCTTCTTTTATTGAATAACAGGCTTTTAGCGGGTTAATAACAGCGATATTCACTTGCCAGTAGGTGCTGTATTCACCTCCCAAAACGGGGTAAATAAGTCAACGTCGCCTCCATGTTTTTCTCGAACGATGGAAATGTTTTCGTTTGAGGCTTCATTTATGCTACTGGCCACTATTTGCCTTCTTTTATTTATGTTTACAGCGAACTCGAAAAAACAACCATCGAGTGGCAATGTCTTTCGTGGATTTCAGCGCTTGTATCTCACTGTATTTCTCATGGCACAAGGTAAATGATATTAGAATTTTACTTCATACCGTTTTTGTCTCAATGGGTCATTTGTGGAACAACGACATGAGCGACGAAGATGCCACTAGAAGTATTCCCTCAGTTTCTCTTTTATTCAAAGTCGTACCAACTTATTCAGTTTGCCTTGTATGCCTGAAAATTCCTGTTGTTAGATGGCATTGGGAGACTGAAATTAAAAAAGAAAAAGGGAATCGACCATTGTATATCTTTGTTCCTCGCAAGGCGCTGGGAAAACATTACAAGTTTTAATTTGCTTAGTTAAGGGACTCTTTAGGAGAGCGACAGATTTGACCACTAACAGTGTAATATACTGGACCACTGACTGAAAAGGTAAACCAATGTGAAAAAGCACGAGTAGAGGGTATCCTTTTGTTCATGAAACCTTTGTTTGTCTGCTGCTGTTGTCGTCTCGGAGTTGTTGTCATGGTTACCAAGGTTTTCTATGGTCATTTTTAAATAACTGTTGAACTCTTTTGTTGTCGACGAGGAAGTTGATTAGCATTAGAGTTATTTAAGTAGAGATATGACACTAGAGTTAAAGCTAACAACTTCCAAAATCCTGAATTCAAGATTTTGGATAGCGAAAATCCTGAATTTTTGTGGTTTATATACGAGGAGCGATCCACACTAAATAACAATTTCTACTCATCCCGATATATACGGACTCTTTTCTGAGCGAGCCTTCTAATTGTTTCAGTAAAATCCTTCCGGTATTGCATTGCAAATATGAGAGCACTTTCTGGTAATTTTTGTTTAGCATTTAATGGCAAAAACCACGGTTTTCTCTACTAATTGGTAGAGAGTACGTCAGCTACTCAGCTTGCAAATCATTTTTGGACCACTCCTTGACTTCTTGACCTAAGTTCTTTTCAGTCTACAATCACAATAAGTAGGCTTTTTATTTATCTTGGTGTGTAAGTTAATTGTCGAAGTTTTGTCTCGAAATGAAGCTTGATAAGCTTAATAAATTTTTACCTTACCTAGGAGCTGATTGGTTACAAGGCCCCCATGTGTATGCGTTATTTTCCAGCTATGGAATGACATCTAAGCAAATAAATCAGCTGTTTGTTGTTGGTTTTGGTTCATCTATGGTGTTTGGGACCGTTGTAGGCTCATTTGCTGATAAACTGTAAGTTTTTAAACATTTATTTGCGCTGAATTTCTTTCACGAACTATACTCCCTATTATACTTCACTACACTCCAGTTGGAGTTCTTTGCAGTTACCCCGGGGTGCAATCCGTCAGATTTGGACTGAGCAGATATGTGCGGCTGTTTCAGAGTCTTGAGTCTTAAACAGGGAATACTATTTCGCGGGTGCGCGGGCGCCCTGCCGTCAGAGCGCCCCGAGGAGCTTGCTCGCGGGCTATTATTAATCAAGCGAACAAGCGTTTCTCAGGGATGAGGGCTTTGCTAAATAAAATTGTTACAACTAATCAGGAATTTGAATCAAGTTTCCATCGAGGCTCAGGTGTAGCTCAAGGAAATGCTTCAGGCAAATTGACACTGAAATTTTTCGGCCTACTATTTTCTGCGAATTATCAGTAGTATATGAGTGTTTCTTATTTTGCAGTGGACGAAAATTTAACTGCATCCTCTATGGCGTACTGTATGGTGTGGATTGTCTTACTAAGGTTCGACAACTTTATGCTACATGTATATGCTAGAAACACAATATATTATTATTAAGTATAATTTTGTTAAGTGTATGCTACAATGTCCTCCACTTCTGGTTTATACTTCAGGGCCGAGTTGTTCAAAGCTGGGTTAAGATAACTCAGGGTTAGGGTTAGTAAGAGATTTGAATTCAGATTTGAAAGCATTTCAGTTTTAATTCTTTTTTTCCACAAGTTGGTGATTGAAAACTCCAAAATAACAGAGAAAATTATCCGAGAAAATGCTTTTGAACACAAGAAAAAGAAACCCGGGTTAAGCGCTAATCGGCCTTCGAACAACTGAGCCCTGGTCTACCATTATCGCGTTTCTTCATTTTCGTCTCCTTTAGAGTTATTTCAAACTCCCCCCCCACACCTTCCCTAGATTCCGCGTTACTCGCGTTCGGCAGAAGCTTACAGCAACAGGTACATGGTGTACGGGGACGCAGATTGTACCTTATACTGAACACGTATTGTATAAAACAGACTTACAAGGTATATTAACTCGAGGCTCACCTCGATTCTGTTTTTTTTCGTTTTAAATGACTCAGTCTCGTTAAGGTACAAATAACAATCATAAGCCCCATTTGCAAAGGAAGGCAACAAACAGAAGGATTCTGGTACCTGCGAATGGCTTACTGGCTTAACTTGGAGATTCGCGCCGTTTGCGAGGCACGTATTTCTAGTTGTACGATTTTGTGTGTACGATACGTGCCCCGTATACTACGTACCAACGGAAACAACCGGTATAGAAAACTAAAGACGGTAGGAACGTTGTCATAACCTACGAAATAGGGTAAATTCGATGTTCTTTAATAAAGCTGGATTATTATCTACGTACTAAGTTATCCTGAAAGGGTGAATATATGACGAATTACTCTAAGTTACTAAAGGGCGCTTATCTCCTTAGCAAAGTTATTGCAACTTAATTTGAGTATTATTTTTTTTTGTCTTTAGCATGTTCCTAACTACTGGGTTTTAATGTGCGGCCGGATCGCTGGAGGTATGGCGACATCCATTCTCTTCAGCGCATTTGAATCCTGGGTAATATGCGAACATGACAAGGTGAGTCAGCAGAGATTTAGTCGACTTCGCTTTAAATCAAGGTCTTCTCCAAGAAATTAATTTTCAAAAATAGCTAGTTTAGGCATTATGTCGGCTGATAAGTGCGAACGAGTGCATTAAGTACAAGAGAAGACTACTTTAAGAGGGCAACGCGCTTATTTTGTACCTTAACCATTGATACAATAGCACCCACTACTTTATCTAATCGAGGGCTCCACATAAAAAGTTGTAACATGTATTTAACCCAATTATGAAACATAAATTTCGATAAATATGACGGTCTACTTTGCATTTGCACTCATTTTCGTTTAGAATGCGTTTGTTGCCTGATCCGCAAGTATCAGACTTGTAGACAAACATCAGCTGCGACCCGATCCAGTAGTCACAGCCATACGTTTGTCACTTAGCAGACTTTGGATAAGAACCAAATCGGCAATAAATTCAGTGCCGGAGTAGCTTGAACCCATAAATTTTTCAATTTAACTCCTGACCAGTGGATTTGGCTTATTTTTCTTACATTTTGATATCACTGACCGTCTGTGGATAAAATAAGTGCATCCATTTTATTTTAGCGAGGCTTTAGTAAAGATTTACTGAGCGACCTGTTTTCCAACGCTGCTCTTGGAAACTCTTTAGTCGCCATCTTTGCAGGCCTGGTGGCTCAGGCTGTAGCCACACAGTTTGGATTTATGTAAGTTTTTTATTAGACCTTACTTAATATCGATGTCCACTGTGAGTATGAGAAATTCTCTTGTTCCATTTGTCCATAAACGAAGAGTTTCGTTGCATGTTTCACAAAAAGTATTGAGTATCCTCCCACTTTCCATGATAGTACTAGCCTGTCCCAGGCTCCGAGATAATTGAGAAAGCGCGAACACGCGAACGGGAGGGAACTGGAGAGAGGAAGGGCGGCACCACAGCCTCCTTTTCGCAGATCACACGCTCATATTTTCGCGTGCCTTTCACTTTCGCGTCATCCCAACTATCTGAGAGCCTGGAAGAGGCTACACTAGTCCGGAAGGCCATTTCAATATTAAAATGCTCCCGTTGTCCCGCTGCTCCCGTTGTTGTTGGAGGCGAAGGCAGCGACGCTTTTTCAAATTTTAGCGAGTTTATTCTAACTTGCTTTGAATGTCAAATGCAGGTGAAAATTCTTCGTGACCTTCCCCAAGTTCCGAAAGAGAAAGAAACATTTGTTGTCGTGTGTCTGCGCCCTTCATAAAACATCACATAATTCAATTAAGTAATTTTCGTGCAGGGACGGTAAAGACGTGCCAAAAATGTGTTTTGGACGTAGAAATTGTTGTTTTGCCAACTAAACCTGCTGGGCCAGATAGTTAAACGGAGTTTAGCCAGTGTTAACAAAAACCCGTTTTAAGCCGTTTTCAGTTTGCCGTACGCTTTTATGTCAACACCATTTAACGTGAACAGTTTCATTAGAGCAGATAAAGAGGACAAGAAAAGTTTGACAAAAACAACCCACTAAGGAAGAGATCTGGCGGTCCAAAGATTTCTAAACCGCGGCCTAAGTTGGACTTTGTTTAAATAACCGACCCAATGCGTTTTTCGCGTTCTTTTTTCCCTGGTCTCACTTTTTTTTTCATGATGTGGTATTTTCCAGAGCTCCGTTCAGTCTCGCACTGTTACTGCTAATTGCAGTGAGTGGACTTATCTGTTGCCTTTGGACGGAAAACTATGGAGATATCGGCGCCGATGTGAAAATATCTCTCATTCAAGGAATACAAGTTGTTCAGAACGGTCAGTTGAACTGTTCGGTTTTAGCCATCTTATATAATGTATCTAGTTTATGAATTTTTTTCGGGTTATTTGCAATTGCTTAAATTGCAATTACGACTGCGACGATCATATCTTCATTTAAATTTGAATTTCCGCAGTTCTCATCATCTTCATTCAGTGTATGTACCGTTACAAGGCATGTACTCTTGACATGACAACACTCGTAAAAAGAAAACTTCAAAGCTTAAGCATTTTGTGGCTTTGTACTCGTTTGATTTTTTTTGTTGTTGTTGTTGGCTGATATATTCTAGTTGATTACAAGGTGCGATTACTGAAAAGTCACGATTCTTCTCCTATCAAAGGCACCCTATGTCCTGTGCTTAAATTTTGCGTTTCAAGTATCTTCCCACGAGATGCAATACACCGCTCCCAACCGCTCCTGGCGCTTCTGCAACACCTTCAAGGCCTCAAAAACAAAAAATCCAGCTCCCTAAGGCGTGTCAAGTACCATCTACGTCTTACGCTGGTTCTGCAGTTTTGGCAGTTTGTTTCAATTAAGGTGTTCGGATGGTGTAGAGCGCCCAGCTCCCTCGCTATTTTTCCTGCTCAAAGCTATTTGCGCCGTTCCCACAATCTGAACAACTAGAACAGGCTATATTTTTAGACACACGATTGCCACGTTTTCAAAGATGTGACACCTTTTTATTTTATATATATATATTTTTCAGATCCCAAGGTGTTTTGTCTAGGGTTAATTCAATCTTTGTTTGAAGGATCTATGTACTCATTTGTGTTAGAATGGACTCCAGCATTAACTACTGGTAAGGCAACATACAACTATAGATTTTTTATGTTCTTGAGTACAGTAAAAATAAAACGCACTTTACTGGAGTGTCTGTGTATTTAGCATGAAAGTACTAATTGAGGCCACTGTTTCTACTCCTTTCCCTGGAGAAGGGATAGCCATTTTACTTGGTCATTTGCTCAACTCGAAGTTAGAAGTTTGAAGAGTAATAGATGAGTATTGGTCCGAGCCCAGAATCGATACCCCGATATTGAATAGGGGCGTTGGACGGTTAGTGGTCTCCCTCACCCCTCTCAGCGCTGATGTTTAAATTGATCATGAGTCCCTTATTTTGGCGTGATGTAAAATCTAATGTTCTTATTTTAGATTCCCACCCGCATAACAAAACTAGCGAGGGGACTATTCCACACGGATGGATATTTTCATCTTTTATGGTTAGTACATTTTGATCTTAATAGAATTTATTTCTTTCATATGTTTGAATTTATGCGTTTTTCTTCCAAAACATCGGGTCATCATTCAAAGTGATGCGACAAAAAAGTCATAGACCAACTTTTTAAAATTACTCACTGTCATTGACCAATCAGATCAATAACCAGAGTATAATACCATCAACTGACGTGATACAACTCACCTTGACTCTGAAGATGACTACCGCACAGGTTGTCGAAACGTTAGTCACTGTCAACAACAATAGTCCTATTCAGGACTACGTTCACCCGGACGATCAAACTCAACCTTTTGAAATGACTCCTGGGTTCAAACCTTTCACAGTTTTGTCATTGATATAGACGCTACTTTAAAAAACGCTTCTATGTAAGCTAATAAAGTTTATTATGTATCATTTTAGGTTTCTGTAATGCTTGGCTCACGTTTGTTCAAACTCATTTCTAAAGTGGGTACCGTGGAATCGTTAATGAGGTACAGGAGAAAAATGTTTTTGAAATATACTAGCACTTATATAACCTACAGGGTCGGGTTGTTCAAAGAAGGGTTAAGTTAACCCAGAGTTAGAGCGAAATTTGATTTCAGATATGAAAGCTTGAGAAGCAAATATTCTTTTTTCTTCTTTTCGCCAACAATTTGATGATTGGATGCTCTAAAAAGAAGAGAGGAAATTATCCGGGAAAATACTTTTGAACAAAACAAAAAGAAACCCGGGTTGAAATTTAACCTTGGGTCAGCGCTAATCCGCCTTTGAACAACTGGGCCCTGGTGTTAAGTTTTAGCAACCCGGCCCCAGTTGTTCAAACGTTGGATAGCTCTATCCACCGGACAAACCCCTATCCAGCGTATAGCGTAATCTGACTCCCTTATAATTATCCGCTGCATGGATAGAAATTTATCCGGTGAATAGCGCTATCCAACGTTTAAACATCCGGGGCCAGACTATTCTCAATTCCTAGGCGAGATGAGAATCGCTTATGTAAATTATGTATCGCTTATGTAAATTATGGGCGTGGCTTAAGTCATTTTCCTTCCCAAGTAAAATGGCTGAGGAGGCCCTGGCTGCCACTTTATTTTTGGGCCAAACTGAAGTCCGCAAGGCCAAGAAATATCATTTTCAAGGCCGGGTCGGCCGGGTCCCCCCTTTAATCTCAGGGTCTGGATGAACGGGCCCTCACTTTTAAGATTAGAATCCGCCATTGCTGATTGAATGGATACTTTCTGGGTCCTTGTTCTTTGATGAACCGATTCTGAACAAAATGAAATCACTTTGGAATGAGAAATGAACGTGGGTGCATTCAAGAGCCATGGTGCAGTGGTCTAATTTGATCTTAAAATAAGGAACAAACACCTGGGATGAAAGGTTTGAGTCTTGACGTAAACCGGTAACAAAAATCAACCTTCTTTTATTGCTGCATTTTTGGTTGAACTACTAGGCTACAAATATATAATAAGGAAAAAAAGGATTAAAGTCTAATTTAACTAGAAATTTTTTTATTCTCGAAATTTTTTTGACCAACAGTACTTTACTAGTTGATTGCCCTCTGTCCATATTAGGTGGAGGCCTTATTGACTATAAATAATTGTTAAATATCCCACCATCAATTAATGACCATGAACTCTCATTTCAGACCGGTTTTTGGATTAACAGCGCTGTCCTTAGTCCCACCCATACTGGTTTCAAATGTACGTGATTTGTTTATATTTTTTATTTGTTTGTTTTGTTTCTCCGGAGATTCTTTGTTTGTTTATTCCGTTGGAATTTTGAAACACGCCAAAGCATAATTCAGCTCGTTAAAAACAATCCGTCAGTTCTTTCTTTGTCATCTTCGTCATCTCTTGTTGTAGAACCAAGCAGTGATTTTCATAGGATTCTTGGTGTTTGAATTCTGTGTGGGTAAGTCAGTATCTCCGTGACCTTCCCCTCTTTGGAATGACCTTGCAAAATTGGACCAACAACTAACCTAACTCTTGTTAGACAGTGTTTGGTACAAATGCAAATTATTCTATAGTAGCAAGAGTATCTTTATGACCGATAACAGTGTTTATTTTGTGTCAATAGTCAGTGAATTAACGATCAATATATAGTTGTAATATTTTTATTGATAAATAGGTGCCTTATCAATGGATGTACTAACCCAGCCAGAGCTGTACGCTCTTAGCTTGTCAAACCTTTGTTGCTGGCTTGACAAAGACTCTATTCCGTTCAAAGATCGTAACTTGTGAAACAACTATAATCAGTCTTTTAAAAATGATGAATTTGTTTTGTACTCAATCAACAAGTTCCAACTGAATAACGCACCCAGTTTGTTAGGTAACAAATGTTGAACGATGCTTAACCTTGGACCACCCTGTGGCTTTACTTTTTCAGGTATTTTCTGGCCGGCAATGGGGGTTCTTAGGGGTAAATATCTCCCAGAATCGAGTAAGTATTGTTTATCTTTGTTTGGACTTTGCTCAATGGATTAATTTGTCTCCAGGTACAAGAAGCACTGTTATCATTTCTTTTCTTCGTTTTCAGGTCGTGCCACAATCATGAATATATTTCGCGTTCCTCTGAATCTTATTGTTATTCTTCTCCTGGTTCAGGTTCGTGACAGCATCTTTTTCATCTCTTTTTGTTCCCCTTCCAGAAAAGGAAAGAAGTAATTCCGTCGATATTCAATACGATCTCAACAAACAACCATGCACTCCGGTCGTGACAGCGGCCACTTTTTCCTGACCTTAACAATCGGGAGTTTACGCAACGACGACGGCGAGGTTTACGAAAACGTCACTTAAGGGGGAAGTCTGGTTAAAATTTGGGGGAAATGATTTGGGATGGAAATATATGAGGGTAGAATAGCTATACACATAAACCAGTTACTCCGCTAATGGGATCAGAGGCACCTTGTTGTGGTGGCGGACTATCTGGTAATTATCTACTGACAGAAACCCATGGGTTTCTGCTACTGATTAATTCACTTCACTTTCAATTTTTAACAACCCCAGGAGACGATTACTGACAACCCCCTAATCCAATATTTTCCCTTTTCCTCCAAATTTCAAACATCTCCTCCCCCCTCCCCCTCCTAAATTTTACACATCAAAAACATTCAAAAAAATCATCCAAAAATTCATAAACAGTTATTGAGCTAAAGACTGTAACTTGATTGAATGAAATCTTGGCTAGATATCTAAGAGAAAGGGTGGAAATCAACGAAGTATGCTTTTAACCAGACTGCCCCCTTAAAAAGTGAATTTGCGCCGCCTCAAACTTTATCGCGCTTATTCCACCTCCTTCAATTCGTCAAATATAGGCAAATTTTTTGGAGTTGAATTCTAAAGGACTGCGTCAAAGTTCAGGAAAAGAAAAAGCAAATTGTTGTCTTTTGTTCCCGTCCTCGAGAAAACGTGAAAAAAGGCAGTTTCACGTTGCAGTCGTGCAATGGCGGCAAAGAAATGTACAAAAAAGCGTGATGCACGTGCAAAGTTGTTGTTTTCCTTGTCTAAACATATTGATTTTGTTCCGTTCTCGTTGCGGTCGTCTTCGTCGTTGCCTAAACTCCCTAATGTCTTTCGACGTCAGCAATACTTCCACCTCATCATTATTACTGCCAAGGATGATATTTTCTGACAAAAAAAAATAAACTTTTTAATACGACTGGTGCAATGCTTGGTGAGTTAGCAAACTCAATACGCTAATTTATACAATAATTTATTGACTACTATTTCTGATTATTTTCTATTTTCCTTTTTTTGTCAGGATTTGTCTCTCCAAGTAGTATTTTGTTGCTGTGTAGTGTTCTTGACAGTCTGTTGTGCCGTGCAACATTGCCTGTATAGACTATCTAGTTACTCAAGCTCTACAAACGAACAAATGGGTGAGAAAGCTTTTGGTCTTAAAAGTGTTTACGGCGACCTTTAAATGTTAAAATCATCACCCTAGTGTATTCCAACGTATACCTGTTGAACTGAAACTTAAGCGATACAGCTCCCATTATACCTGGATCAATACTAAAACTGTATCATTATAACAGAAAAGCAATGCTTAGATTAGAAGACAAACCAAGAAGCAGGTTAAAATCATTTCTCAACTTTTCAAGGCAAATTCACACGGCATCGGATGAATTTTATAAATTAATATTGACAAATTCAAGCGCACTCTATTGAATTGTCTCTTTCACCTGTTTCTCACAGGAAATTTAAATTCGGAACCGGCTTGATGAAGAGAGACATCAAGAAACAACAAATGCCAACAACCCAGAAGGGATTTATGTCCCATGTTTCAAAGAATAGGAGCCATAATTCAAGTAAAAAGAAGAAGGCCACAGCGTGCGCAAAAAAACGGAGTTCTAATCTTCGAGTACCAAGGAAGCTGAAGTTGCTGGGCTGGTAGTTGCCATAGGGTCACCCCAGACTTTGCGCACCTGTTGGCAAGTGTGGAACTTATTTTTAGAGGGACATTCAGTTAGAATGGACTTTACTTGGTGGTGATAAATTGGAGTGGACATGCGCAAATATAATAGCCAAATAATAACAAATAATAACCAATTCTGTAACGGGGCGAAGCTGCTCCGCGCCGATCTCCATATTAGAGACCTTTCATTTTGGCAGGAAAACGTGATAGTAGGCGTCATTCTACTACGAGGTTTAGCGAGAATGTCGTGTTAGCGGACACAAGTTATAAAGTGTTATTATAGGTTTTATTATTCTGCGGCTGGGAGATAGCTTAACCTCATTCAATAAAGATAACAGTGCTAAATTTTTTTGGTGAAAAAGATGTACAATGAAGCTATCCAGGGTGTCTATTATTTGAGAATACGCGAAAAAACTTCAAGTTAAATCTCGTACTCGTAGTCGTTCTCGTCTTAGATTCTTGGTGCATTGTGAACTGGTATTCGAACAGTAGCGGAAATGAATAGGTACTAAAGAGGACTGGAACCCACAGAGACGGAAGTAAATCTTTAGAAGTGGTGGCCAACAGCTCCGGCAAGATATTCGATGTGTTTGAACGACTTTTTCCAGTCTCGGGCCGTGCAGACACATAAAGTTATCCGATATAGTAATGACACAGCGTTACTCTTGGTTAAAAGCAAGGACGAGTGGGTATTGGCTTTAAAAGGCAAACAGACTATTCAAAGTGCAATACTACAAGTGCCTTCAATTACTGAGAATAATAAAAAGAATACGAATACGTTAAACTAGTAATGTTGTCTTTTTCTGGTTAACCTTTTAATTCTTTTGCGCGGTGGAATACATGCTGCATTGTCGGGATATATCACATACCTTTAACCATCTCGCCACAGGCTTACTTTCAATATATGGACCAACAAATCGTCAAAACAACACAAAACAATGTCAATTCGTTGAAGCCTTACGTCATCTGTCTGACGATACATGTCCCGTTAAAACACGAGGTCAATATCAAAGTTGTCTTCATAAATGGAAATACAAATGCATGTAATACCTGTTTAGTGTAAGTCTCAGTGTAGTTCACAGTATCGCAAAGATCAGTGAGTGTCTTGTTAAAAGGCTCAAGTTACACAGAGCTCGAGCTTCCTACTAGTTTGTGACAGCAAGCGAAACTTAGTCCTCGAATTTAGCGAAAATGTCTCCCAGTGGGCACTCTCACGATCATAGTGGGCACGCGCATGGGGATATGAACGAACATTCTACCATGGCATCTCATGGAGAAGCTGGTCAGATGCACCACAACATGGAGGGGGGGCATGCGGTAAGAGAGCTATCGAGTTTACTTGCTTCCGACTAGAAATACCGGAGTACTGTTTTTATGAGGAAAAGAGTAACGTTGCTAATATAGTCCACACACGGTACCCCAACAGGGGCAAAGATAAAAACCGCACTGATCCACAGCATGAAAGCGTATTTGCCATCGTAGCACCGAGAAGGCATTTTGGCCTGCATTCTGTACTCAATAAGTATGACCTAAACCATCAGAAGATAAACTAAACGTTTACTCGTTTATGCAATCTACACACTGAGTTTGTTATTGATTCGTGTGAGAAAAGTTTCGAATTTTCAAGGATAGCCTTTTTTTTCGAAATTTCGAAAAGCAGAGCATACAATGCACTTAGATCGCTACTTCCACTAAACAGCCAACATTAGACTGTCATTTCATTTTTTTTTATCACTTTTTAAATCATTCGGGTATGAAAATTTGCTAGAATATTTATCGCCATTAGGAATGGCTAAGTACTTTTTTATTATTTGTGAGATCATTTAAATTATCCATGATCAAAAAGAAAGTTTTAAAAACAATTGAACAAGCAGTCACGCCATTGCAAACAAGATGGGTTGTTTAAGGCTCTCTTTGAGGGAGTACTTTTTGATAATAACCACATTCTTTCACGTGCTATCTGTGTCATCTATAGGTTTATTATTCTTGTGATTTATATGTTCTCTTTGCACGCAACAGTATTAACTATCAATTAACTTAGTCGACAAATTCATCCCTAATTGACCTTATCTTCGACCAACGTACAGCTGTGATCTAAATAATACAGTCGAAAGACACCCCCACAGAAAAATGAGGTTTTTTTGGCAGGGGACTCAAGGACTTAAAAGCCAGTATACTGTTTTGTTTTTGTGACATGAACCGGAATTGCAGCTGGAAATGAACCTGGAATAAATCGATGACGCAATTTGAAAACAAAGGCGATTACTGAACCATTGATTATAATTAAGGATAAATATAGATGATATTTAATGTGCATTCCTCCGTGCGAATCTTATAGCACGAAAAGAACTGAAATGTTGTAATCTAAAAAAACTTGCCTGTCTTTTAAAACAACTTGGAAACAAAGTAAAAAACTCTACAGATAAATAACACAAAATATAAGGACGTTTTGATTCAGAATAAGAAAAATTTTGAGAAAACTATTTTTCTTAAAAAATATATAGCTCTTTAACAACAGTTGATATACATTATCGTTTGTTTGTTTGTTGGATAGGGCTATATAACCCCTACTTGTAACATCATTTCCGGGCAATGATTCTGCGAGTTTGTTTTATGTCACTGAGCCAAAACGTCCAACATTGACCTATAAAAATTGCCCTCATATCACCATTAGTCACGTCAGAGTGAATCGTAAGGAGGTTTTGCTCTACTTTCACTGAGTTTCTTGTTGCTCTGTTTTTTAGTATCCTCCGTCAGTGCTTTTCAGTGATTTTTCACCTGTCTACAAACGGTATTTCAAAGACGGCTTGGTAAATTTCTTTGTTGTGTTAATATTGACCTACCGGATGAAAGTAAAAGGATCTCGTTTATCAAGTATATCAGTATTTGTCGGTCTTCACGGTCATACATAATATCGATGACGTATCCGAAACATACAAGAGAACCAAGACACCAAGAGAGAAGGAGTGAAATAAAGAGAGAAAAAAATTATTTTATTTAAACACGTGGGTTTTAAAGACAATACAGCTTATGAGACCGAGTAAAAAATGTTAATAGGATAATAAAAATTAAAAAATACACTTAAAACGATAAAAATACACTATTATTAATATATAAACTAAAAATATGAATAAAAGATTTGAATAGGATCAATAAAAGACGAAATCACTCTCAATTTGGAGACCCATTTGCGGTCTTCATTAACGTTCAAGCCTGAGACGAACAAAACGCTGAAAAATGAGGTCTAGATATAGGAGACTTAACGATAAACAGTATCGAGCGAGCCTTATCTTCGACTTTTAATTTCCAGTATTAGGCAAAAAAAACTGTCATCGCATCGAAAAAAGGGTAATAAAAAAGTTGTATGAACAGAAATATTGACTAAAGTGGTGGATGAGATTATTATAGTAAGCTCAGATTAGTTCGCATAACATTGGACCTGGTTCCTCAAAAGTTGTTAAGCCAAATTGCAGAGAATCATGATGTAAAATGAAACTAACGAAAGAATCCATAAGTTCAGTTCTTGTCTATGAAAATGTAACTGAACCGTTGAGCTTTCGCTCCGAGTTCACGATAACGCCTCAGAAAGGTACTCTGGATCAATCAAAAGGACAGTAAATACAATCCTGTGTAAAAATTTTAATTCGAGATTAGCCCTGATAACTTTTCGCATCTTCTCAGGAAATGGGCTGACAATAGTAATGTTGTAATGGTAATCGGACTGGGTGGAGTCCGAGTGAACAATGCGGGAGACCACGATTTACAAACAGAATTAGAAACCGCTATGCCACTGAACTAAGACTCCAGCTAATGTCACTATAAATGTACAAAAATAGCAAGGAGTCTTTGTCAAGACTTAAGAGCAAACGACATAACTTATACGATGACTAGTGCTGTCCAAATACATTGCGCGTACTAATAGCCAATCCTGTTGAAGAAATCTGTCGTAACTTCAATGAACATGTTGTGGAAAAGTTGGAAATTGGGCCAATACGTTAGCTTACGTGTCAGCCGCACCCTCCCGCCTCTCTTCGTTTTTCCTTTGTCTGGCGGGGGGGAGGGTGCGGCTACACGTAGGCTATCAATACGTCAAACGAAAGAAGCATGCAAAAGCTAAGCAAAATATTTTAAAGCTAAGGTTTTAATTCTGAATGGTGAAATTTTTAAGATATGACCGATATACTGTTACTTTACCAAAAAAAGCTTTAAATGTTTGAAAACAGAAGCTGGTGTTATTGTCGGCACCACTCTTCAGCAGTATTCAACGTATGTAGTGTGTGTAGTATTTGTAGAAAAATTCCCAGCGATGCTTGCGCCCCCTGTCTACATACAAAACAGACAGCGACGATAGCGACAGGCAAAACTAGGGAATGAATCGGGAGTTCCTTTTTCAAAAAAGGTCCTACACTAAAACAGCTAGTTAGACTTGTGTAGCGGAAGAATTAGAATACCCTATAAAAAGAAGAGAATTCCCACAAGAGAGTTGTTTTGTAGCAACTACGCGATGTGAGGAGCTTGGTAATTTTCTGAGGCCTCTTCAGTTGGTCTTGATTCATTACTTAAGGAACGTCAGGGGCACCCAGCGATGGTTTCCTCCTAAATGCATTGTAAAGACGTTTTAGGCCATCCAGAGTACTCTTAGATCTCTAGAAATGCATTCTAAGCGGCGCTATAAAATTTGTATCCGTTCAGTCATCCCAGGGGAACTTGAGGCTTTTCGAACTTACAAGGGCTTCAGTGTTATTTTCCCGAAACTTTTTACGAAAGTGAGAATAATTCTTATTCCTCTCTCCATGAAAATTTTTAATCCGACAATTTTAGATTTTATTTTCTACGAAAATTAGCCTAACATAAGGAGTAAAATATGAAAAATTGAACTTCAGAAAATCGTAGGGAATTTTTTAGGTAAGCTCCGAAAATTGTACCTGAATGGAACGCTCATCTAGAAATTTTCAGCCGTATTCAAACAATAGAAAATTCTAAGCAATATTTGCTTCTCCGAACAGATATTTTACAGAAAACAGTCGTTGGGCTTCCCCTGGAATGTGCTCTACAACCTCATCCCTAGGGCTTTAGGTAGGGGAAAACTTGATCCCTGGGGGACGAGGATGGGCATTCTATAGTGAAAAGACCCCAGTTCAACTCTTTTATACATCAATATAATGGGTATACGTGTTTTGAAAAACTAGTTAGATTGTTAGAGTGTTTTAGAAATGTTTAAGCAGTATCATGAGTTTCATATATTTTAGGTTTTGTAAATATTTTTATTGCCTTTGTTATTATTTTACGTAAATTCATTTCGCAAAATGACAGATTTATCGCCAGTTGTATCACTTGGCTTTCATCACTGATAAGGCTCTATGAATTCAAGTGACGTTCAGTAAAATGTACTGCACAGGTTTTGGTTGTTTCTTCAGCCCAATACAAAGTAGATATGAGCGGTATATTAGTTTAGTTCACTGTGAATGGACAAAATTCCTCGATAACAAAGTTAATTTGCGTCGATCAATTTCAGATGATGTTTCATCTCAGAAGTGACCTCAATCTTTTGTTTGAACCATGGGATATCTCATCAACAAAAGGTAGAAAAAATATTATGCTTTAATATAATTTTGATTTATAAATTTGATGCCTTTCATGGTCTCTGTAAATCCAGCCTGCGTAGCAACCGTTTCTGCTCGAGTTTGTCGACTTTTCGCATTAAGGAGCTTCAACAACCACTGCGACGACGGCAAAACGTCCGAATTCACCGTTATTTAACAAACTGAACAACATGAGAGATTGATTCACTTTTTGAGAGAAGTATTCGTTATCTGCGTCACCGTAATAACTGGATCCGAAACGCTGGCTACGTAGGCTGTACAAGATGATAATTCATATGTCACTCAATTGTCATATAAAGTGACCAATACTGGCCCAAAATCAGTACTGGATTTCTAAATAGTGTCTTTACTTATTACTTCAGCCTCGCTGAGTCAGACCGAACGTGTTTAAATTGGGATTGATTCAGCTCAAAACAACGTGGGTAATCATGTAAACAAGCTCTTATGACTATTTTGTAAATTAGTTGATTCGGTACGCCAGAAGGCGTTAGTGGGTGTTTACACGAGAAAACTCGCACCGGCGCGAGTTTCATACTGGGATGACTTTTTGATTTCGTATCGCGTTTACATTATGACTGGGTCCTTTCATATCTCGCTATTTGAAGGCACACTTCATGTTGATAAAATGTCCACGCGTGATTCAAAATCGCAAACATTACGCATGCACTTCCCGTTCCAGTCTACCGGCAGACCGATTTCACACCGAAACATGTTTCGCGTTTACATGATACCGTTTGCCCGATTTCGTACCCGAGTGAAATTCCCGCCCCGGTACAACAACCGGGGTGAACTCGCGCCGGGGTAAGTCGTCCTGACATGACATTTTGTGGCGGTATCATGTAAACAAATGTAGAACCATGGGAGGAAACCGGAGTAAACTCGCTCCGGCGCGAAAGTCGCCCCGGTGTTAAGTAAACACCCCTTTAGAAAACAGGCATAATTTGGGTGAAAACATTCCTCTTGGCCAGTCACGGCACATGATAGTCTGCAACACAGCATTTTTAGTGTCGTCACGCAACGCTCCTCCCCATAAACGGTGTTTCGCTACGACACTAAAAACGGCTGTAGACTACGTACATGACGAATGGTTTCCATTTTTTCTAAAGAAAATTATATCACTTGACCAAGGTCACTTTAAATTGGCCTTATTGCGGGCGACAAGAGGAGCCCGCAATCCTAATCTCCATGTTGTTATTACGCATGCGTAGCATGTATGTAGCCAGCATTCGTTTGGACTTCCACTAAGAATGAATGGAATGCAGATGTTAACGCAATTTGATCACGTGCATTTTGACCTTCTATCACTCGTAATCTGATCACGCGTGAAACTTACGCAAAGCACAGCGTTGGAGCAAAAGATTTTTGACCTTCGATCGTTGTCGCCCGCACTCCGTAACCTTTGGTTATTACTAATATATGGTTAATTTCATATTTTTCACCGTTACAGTGTTGGTTGGCTCGTGTATTGCAGTGCTCTTCATTTCTATTTTGTATGAAGGCCTGAAGATCTTAAGAGCCAAACTTACCGACAGGCACAAAACTATGACCAAACGAACTGACGGTGTACAGTTTTCAGGATCTCGTCAGAGTCTTTGGTAAGCCAGTTAATATCCCCCCTCCCCCCCTCAGCGAAGTTGAATTCTTATCAAACCTTAATCTAGAGAAGTAATGATACCATTTCTTTTTTATGGTGTTGTGTCACAGTGCTATTGGCATCCCCATTTCCAAAACCCTAGTGATATGGGCATCCCATGTAACCCTAACCCCAACCCTAACACTAACCCTAACCCAAATCGCTAAGGTAATATGAGAAGGGGATGTCCATATCACTACCAGGGGTTTGGGAATGGGATGCCCAAAACGTTGGGATACCCATATCAATGTAACAGCGGGTTTTGCAATCCTCGACTTTTGGAAAAGCTTGGGCGAAAATTTGCATTCGCCATTTACACATTTCCCATAATAAACCTTGTTTGCCCCCTAAAACTTTGCATTACCTTTGTTTATTATTTCTACTGGGTATAACAGTTGTCCCAAGAGAAATATAAGACAATGGTTGTGCAACATTTTGGAGGGCAAACAATGTGTATTATGAGAGATGGAGATGTGAGAATGGCCAGTGTTTCAAAGCAAGAGATCCTCTTTTGTTCAAAGATAAGCTGGAGTAAATCTAAAATTCTTTTTTAATATAGAAAAAAAATTATTTTTTTTTAAACTGCTTTATGGAAGTTGTAACACGCAAAACGGTCATACATTTCCTTTAAAAAAAAACGTTAATGTGGCCAACGGCCACACTTTAAAATCTCAAACAGTAGAATCTCTTATTCTTTCACGCCTTAATACGGCCACTCCTAGTAATCTGAGCTTACTGTTTTTAGACTACAGTACACTTAAAATGCACTTGTGGCGATTTATAGCCGAGTTTTAAAAGAAATTAATGTACTGAAGGAAAATTTTATGTAGTTTTTTCAATCACTGTACGCGATATCTACATTCCGGTTAGTTATTAATGAGAACAGTACGGTGAATTCGATGTGCGGTGTATTTGTTATTACGGCCCTTAAGTCATGAAATTTGAGCCAGCCCCGGTAATTCGGCCAATTTTTTTTTTTTTTTGGTCCATTAGTGACCGTATTAATATTAACGGGGTTCCACTGTATTTAATAATCTAGACAAGCAAGACAGAGAAACCTTTGTAAGTGGAACTCTGTGACGTCAGGAATCGCAATGATAAGAAACGAGGACTGGGTACAAACGGAAGGGAGCTTGGCCGAACTTGGCCGAGTGGTCAGCGCGTCGGACTCGCAATCCGGCGGTCCTGGGTTCGAGTCCCGCTCTGGCCACTTTCTGGATTTGTGCTCTGTCGTCCCGAGTTCAAATTCTCGGCCACGCTTGTAAATAGTCAACCGGTTGCCTTCTGCCAGTTGGGGTTTTTAATCCTGTTATGTTGTATTTAAATTATTTGTTTCGAAATATTTGAGTGGAGTGCCTGTAAACTAGCTGGATAAGCTAAGTACACTTTCCACTATAAACAAGCCTTTCACAACCAGCTTGCCGATCACCGACCTGACCATGTTCATTTTTTGTAGGATCACCATGTGCAGCTCGCATCACTTGTCACAAACAGTCTTGCATATTGTGCATGTGGCGCTGGGATACCTACTGATGCTGGTGGTGATGACGTATCAGGTTTATCTTGGGATCTCCGTTATAATCGGAGCGGGCCTGGGCTACTTTTTCTTCGCTGGCTTCATCAGTGATACAGATCATCATAAAGACGAATCTTGTCCTAACCCCACCCCAGAGAGTCCTGGAATGATTTTAAAATTGACGAATTTTAACGACCTCGAAAAGAAGCAACATCAACCGGAGAACACAACTTCGTCTGATCTTGCTTTTTGCAATAAGGGTTTTAGCACAGAAAAAAGTAACACAGACAAATAATTTTAAAAAATTATGCAGCACAAGAAATTAAAGTATGAATCGTATGAAGCCGAAATGCGCTTGACTTTCCTTTACAATATTTTCTTTAAAATGTTTAATAGAACTATAACAGGCGGCTTTTAGTTAAAAACAGCGTCGTAACATAATTTTAAGAACGGTCTTGAAGAAGTCCAGGGGTCCTTACCTTTTGCACAAACCAACAACTAAATTTGATCTTGAAGTGTAAGAACTCTCCACAAAGCATAATCCAAATAAACTGAATCGTTAGTAGACTAGAGAGATTATAGAAATTGCATCGCCTCACTGAAACTAACAGCTCATACTTTTAGAAGCTTCCCAAACGGAATGACTCGAACCATTTGATTTTCCAATAGGAATTTCCGGTTTCCCCGTGTCAATGGTAAGTACCCCAGGCTGTCAATTTTACGCCGGCTAGTGTGTGGATCCTTGAGGTTTCTTATGGTTAAGCGTTCAGACTTTTTTCCTTGCTCTTTGGTGAGGGCGTGTTCGTGATGCTTGCCGTTCTCCGGCTAAAACGCAACCGTTTCTCAGGATCTTACGCTTAGATCACGCTTACCGTGACAGATGGAGAATGAGCAGGAACCAGGCTAGATCTGCGTAGTAAGCGTTTCCAATTAAGTTATTGCGGTAAGAGCGGGAGCCTCTTTTTTGCTCGTCTCAACTTTCTCGACGAACTCGCGCGAAACGCTTGCTACGCAGGCTAGAACCAGGCAAGTTTCTTAGTCAACGGCACAAACGGTTTACAATAAGCACAAAAATGTAAAGGTAAGCTATAAACATACGGTGACGAACCAAGGGTGTTTCTTCATGGAACGGATAGACAGATATCTCAGTATTGAAATCCGTTTTCGGATTTCGCGTTCGATTGGAAATCCGAAATCCGGATTTAAAATCTAAATCCATATTTCCCAAGCGAACGCACCATGAGTATAAGCCCTAAACTGAATGACTCCTTATTCATTGAAATCAAATATTTTTAAAACGTCAAATATTACAAATAAGTTAAAAGAAAATGCAATGTAAAAAGTGATAAGTTAAGCTTTTAATTATTTTCACATAGGATGGATAAAATGTATTCTAAATTATTTCCTTTAATTTGACAATCCTCGTTAATTCCCACGAAGTGGTTTCTCTGGGAAGATAAAGTGAACTTGTATTGACGAGCGTATGCAATAAAACTGACTTTAGAGTATGATTGTTTTGACCTCATTGTTTCATAGCCTCCCCGCAGACGTCCTATGAGGTCCGTTCACCACGCATTCACGCATTCAGTGAGTTCACGCATTCATTTCTCCCCCCACGGTAACGGTCCGTGAGGGAGAAATAAATGCGTGACGAACGAACCCCAAAGGACGTCTGCGGGGAGGCTAATTGTTTCAGTGATGTAGGAGCTGCTTGCAAGGTGTTTCCTCATTAGTCGCAGAAAACAATAACACATCTTTAGACCATTTTTGATATATTAAAATTCATACTTGGCTCCGAGGCTTGGGGGAATAAAACAAAAGAAATCATCTTGAGACTCAGCAGTGAACAATACATTTCTTCTTCATAACGCAGCCAAGTATGACTTTTAATATATCGGAATTGGTCTATTGTTTATCAATATTTCCATTTTTTTCACGGTTAGGGTATCGAACCAATTGGCTCTTAAAGTTTATTTTTTTATAACAGGATTGATTGCCATTCAGTTGTTACGATTCAAGCCTCGAACGTCCTTATGTGACATGAGAAATGGAGTTTACTTCTTATTTAGGGGGCAACGTTATAACCGGGGGCCCGTTTCTCGAGAGTCCCGTTAACTTTTCGGGTCCGATATCAAATATGCAGGTAAAATTCTTACAAGTAAGAGGCGCTTGTATGCTCTCAGTCTTTCCAGAAAGATAAAAGACCAACTCGCATCGGAAGGGAAGACGATTTGTAGTGGGTAAAACAGACTTCTGAGAATCACAGTAATCTCAAGACTACTTGATGCACTGCTGCTTAGCTGAGTAAAAGTCTAAAATCATATCGCTTAAAAAACTAAATCGACCCATCCAAGGCGTAATTTTATTCGCTTCTTGATCGTTGGGCTGTATACGCAGTTTCACGGCACATTGACTCTTATAAACACGACCATGACACATTTTAAAACGGTGACTCAACATCCCCCATCTCGACGTAAACTGACTTGACCTGTGTGTAGTAATCAATGGTGTCTTCACCTAGTTCTCGGCCAACGCCCGACATCTTATAACCACCAAAAGGCACTTCGACTGGTGTCATATTATAATTGTTGATCCAGCAAGACCCTGCTTGAAGCTTGGAGATAACGCGATGGGCACGAGCAAGATCTCTGCAAAATCAGGATACATAAAGTCGATAATTTTATAGAGTACTGAAATACAAACAATAACAAAAACTTCATAAAAACTTAGCTTTGCAAATGCTCAAAGGTCGTCGGGACATCTTCGGACATTTTCGACAATGTTCGGAAGTCTTCGGCAAATCGTCGGAAATCTCCGGACGTCGCGGGGACGTTTCGGAAATGCTGGTCATGACAAGACGAAAATCTCACGCATTTGACTCGGATAAGGTTGGGAGGTAAATATAGCACTTAAATCATCACTCCAGAGTTAATTCTCCATGCCATCATTTGTTTCTCACTGCTATGTCGTACAACAATACCTATATAGGGTCTACATCGTGTACCTGGTAAAGACCCCAGCAGACAACCCAAACTCTGTGTCATTGGCTCTTGCTATGGCTTCTTCTTCAGAGTCAAATGACAGTACAGTCATGACAGGACCAAATATCTCCTCCTTGACAACGGTCATGTCATCTGTACAGTCAGTCATGACACAGGGTGACATGTAGAACCCATTGGCCAGCCTGTGGTCATCAAGTCTAACACGTTCACCTCCACAAAGAACCTTGGCACCCTAAAAGGAAAACACACACCTTTTAAGATATAACTTGTGCCCACTGATCGGTTTGTCTGGCAAAGTAAGCTTTCAATTTCCATCTATTTTTAAGGGCTTGTTAAGTGGATGGTGTCTTGTAGAGCCCTATCAACCCAAGAGAAGGTGGTTCCTTGTCCTGGAGGGGGGACGGGAGGGGCACTCAAGGGCAGTTTGGGTAGAGGTGTGCCCATGAGGCCTTCAAACCCTGATCCTGTTTAAGACAAAAATGGTTCATTTTGCTACCTTGTTAAAGGCAACAGGTGTTATTTTATGACCCTGATACATTTCATGTTGCATACAAGATTAAGTAATATTTCAAACTTACATTACTAACTTAGTTTTAATTAGAAAAAAAATGCTGGTACCACATAATTATGTAGACCACTCATCATCAACCTACAAATGCACATACCCTGTTCAGCAGCACATACCGGTATCCATTTTTTTAGGCCAAAAAATGTGAGCCTCCCCACTAGGGTAATTGTTGAGTGCACTTGTTTTAACCACCCCCCTAATAATAATAATTTTGTCAAAGGTCACATACCTGCTCACGTCCTATTCTCACATACTCCAGCACCTTATGAAGATGTTCCTCAGAGATCAAGGCACCCATCTGAGTATCTGGGTTCATGGGATCTCCAACACGGATCTTTTTAGTGCGCTCAACCAACTTTGTGAGGAAATCATCTAAGATGCTCTTTTCCACAAATACTCGGGTTCCATTAGAACAGACCTGTCAGCATCAAGTAAATATGAAATAATATAATTATGAATATAATTTTGACCTGTAAAAAATATACTTCAATAAAAATTAACATAACAAAGGAAATCTCATCAACATTACCACTATAATTTATGTGATTTGACTCTCATAGTGATAAGAAACATACCTCTCCCTGAGTAAGAAAGTTTGCCATCATGGCTCCTTTAACAGCATTTTCCAAGTCAGCATCAGAAAACACAAGCAGTGGAGACTTTCCTCCCAACTCAAGTGTGACATGTTTTATACCTGTAGATGCATCTGCCATGACCTATGGAGAAAGCAGTGATACAATGAAAATAAATGTTCACTTTTTTGTCCACCATAATCTACATCTTTGGTTTGAGTTCAGAACCCAGCCATCTCACATGTTCACCCAGTTGCTTTAATAGGCTTTGGTTTAAGGGCAGCCCTGTTAACTCTGAACCACCCCTAATCACCCATGTGGACCCACATCCCTTGTACCACTTGTGACATCATCAGTTTTAATGGTCAAGGACAACTTTGTCCTCTGACTTGACATGCACGATGAAGAGAACTTTCAAACAATATGCCAGGAGACTGGAGAAAAATGGAAAAAATATAAAAAGTTGACTCAAAAATTCCAGTGAAAATCTTGTTCCACTAACCTCCTGCACTTTCTTCCCTCTAATCCTACAATCCTAAAAAATTTCCCCAAAACGTTTTGTACCAAAATGACACCTGGTAAATGCCAAACAGAAGAAAAAATGGGGCATGGAAAAGTGAAAGAAGAGGGGAGGAGGAGGTCAAACCCAGAGACTATTGCACAATTTTGTTTTCTGCGCAGGCCCAAACACTTTGCATCTAGGCACAGATGGTCGCAAAGCTAAGTGCTTGACTCATAAGCAGTAGTTTGAGCAGTTTTAACACTAAATTAAGCCAGACAATGCCCAGAAAACAGCTCAAACATGTTACTCAGGAAAATTTCCGGGAGCTTAAGTGGGTTAACCAGAAAAATAATCGCCAGGGTAAAAATAAAATTAGGAGCTTCTATATAATCCTAACCTTCTTTCCAGTGGGCACCGACCCAGTAAATGAAACCTTGTCTACATCCGGATGTGATGAAAGCAAATGGCCAGTACTAGCTCCGCCCTGAACAATGTTTAAGGCTCCATTGGGAAGTCCCGCTTCAGTGAAAATCTCAGCAATCAAGATAGCTGTCAACGGGGTGAGTGGTGAGGGCTTGAACACAATAGTGTTCCCACAAGCTAGTGCTGGAGTTGACTTCCAGGTACAGATCTGAAATGGGTAGTTCCATGCTCCAATGCCTGCATGCATGTTAGCAAAGAACAAAAAAAAACGTTAGAGTGGTAATGAATTAAATGAAAAACAATATGGTCTTGAGATAAGTTTTAACTATAGTGCTTTGACTGTAGAGAAATGTGATAATTATAGGATGGTATCTTGATTGAGGCAGTTGGGGTACACTGTAGATCATGGGCGCGATCCATTCAACCAAAATTTCCTGACATTTCGGATCCAAAACTCAATGGATCGGTTCGGTCCAACCGGAAAAGTTTTGAAAAACGGGTCCACCTTTTGAGGTGGACCACTTTTCGGGGCCGGACCAGTTGGAATTTTGGTTGAATGGATCGCGCCCCATTTCTAAGGTAAAATCCTCAGTAACGAGAGTATGAATTGATACTATGGCCAGCTTTTCCTGTTAAACTCTATTTACTGCAAATCCTTTATACGTACGGTAAATTCTTCCTCTCCTTTGTATAAATATCCTTCTACATTATATTTAGATAAACATGTACACATAAAATAATAAAATTATTCCCTTCGAGGGGACACGCAAATTGACTGGCGCGTCAAGATAATTGAAAAATAGCTCTAGCTAGCTACCGGCAGGCCAGCGCACTTTTGTAAAACTGAAACAAGGAAAAAAAGATTATTGTTTGTTGTTGTTGTAGTTGCTAAAGTGTGAATAAAGATTTAACTCTGTACCATACCTGCTACAACACCTAATGGCTCTCTTCTAGTGTAAGCAAAGTTCCCATTAGGAAGCTGGATGTGCTTTCCACTGATGGTAGGTGCAAGACCAGCATAGTAATCAATAACATCTGCGCAACCTTCAATATCCCATACTGCTTCATGAAATGGTTTCCCTGTAGTGTAAAAGATAAAAGTATTACCATTATCATTTACTAGAAAGACTCACAAAGCTTCACTCCTCCTTAAATTCTGCTGGGTATACGTTTTAACCTCAAGGGTCACCAGGGTCTGCATACTTCTTTTCACTCGTGATACACAACTACGAAATTAACATATCATGCACAGTGGCAGATTGAGTGTCTCCTGACCAAACTGAGGTCCTTTACTGGTATAGAAAGTGTTTTCACTGTCACACAATGAAAAAAATGACTTTGAAACTGTTGCATGAAAGAAGCCAAGAAAATGAAATGCTACAGAAGACTCATAAATATACAATACATCCAAGTCTCAGGTCTGTGCAGCACATCGTTTCTTAGTTGTTTACCAAAATGTTCCACGCAAGTTTAGAGAGCTGTGTATGGGGATGCCATGCTGGAAGGCCCTGCCAGGGTAAATTTCCAACAAGCGACATGACTCAAAAAGTAGCAACAGACTGTAAAATGAAATTGTGACAAGAGACAACCTACCTTTAGCCAAATTGCGACAGGAAGAAGTAATTTTTGTCAATTCACCTTGCGCTACAGAGAGCATCTATTGTCAGTGAGCTTCTTATGGACCCTCCTATGAATTGTGTTAATTGTGAATGGCAATGTATAGGTGTTTGATATGAGAAATGTTAACTGAGAAATTGCAGAACTGTAATGGTTTCTTTATAATGCGTCACTATCCCCCTTTTCTAAAATTCTGACCAAGAAAAGAATTTTCATTCAATTTTTGACAGCGACGTGAAGCATTTATAAACCCGACATAAGACATGGCAGGCCCTGGCAGGGCCTCTGCTGGTGTACTAACATCAGGGACACCAACATGATGGGACACCCATACCTGCCAGCCCTCAGAGTACAAAAATCTGGAGACATCTAGAAATCTTTGAGTTGTAAGAATGTCATTTTCAAGGTCTGAATACTCTCCAAATGTTCCTGATGTCAATAACAGAGTGCAAAAACCATATAAACTTTCTACCATGTATTGTGCAATTTGATTGGTTGATTTCTGACCAATTACGATACTTGTTAAATATATATCAATTTGCTTGCTCTGCCTTACACTTTCCAATCAAGAACATCTCAAATAGGAGCACTAAATCCACTTCTTGTTTTATTTTCCATTTTGACATCTGCCGAAAATCATAAGGAGATAGCTTTTCTTTAACCAGACATCTTTGCTGAGGCTACCGTTCATTGTGGTGTCACACATTGTGAAAATCCGGAAATTCAAAATGCTGTATTTTCAAAATAGAAGACACTACAGGGCTGAAAACTTCTACAAAGATTCATTTTTCGGTCCCCTACAACCTGGTATACATAAGAATTCAGAGGGCCTCACTGTATTGATGATGTCACAGTGAAAACACTCTATAGGAGATACATTTTTATGCCTATTTTTACAAGCAAGCAACCTGTTGCTTCCAGTAAGGGAACATAATTATATATGAGTTTATGATCCTTTTAGCCCAAACCTTTGCCCAAGGGGAGAATGGAAAAATATGAGGTTAAATGATAGAGATTAAAGGTCATGGATATATAGCTGGTATATCTAGCAACTATACACTTTAATTGACTGGTAAAATAGCATAAAGAGGCTGTTGACAATTATGTGGATTGGAAAAGGGTGGATCAAACCCAGTACTAACTTTAACCATTTGTCATTGTGTCACAGCAGTTGATCAGATCTGATCTAATCTGATCTGATCAACTAAGGGAGTGTTCACTAAAGCTGAAAGCCCCCTCAATCTGCAAAATTCGTCATATTACCCTCAACCAATTATTGCTAAATAAAGGATTAAGGACGATTTAGAAAGGAGGAAGAAGAAATTTAACATGGATAGAGAAATTTGGGCTAAATTTTTCAGGGTATAGCACACCTGTGAACCCCCGGTGTACAAAAATCTGGAGACGTCTAGAAATCTTTGCATTGTACTAAATAAGAATGCAATTTTTGACATACTTTCCAAAATATTACCCAAAGGTCTTCCACATGTTTTCAGCCTAGATAACAGCGTGCGAAAACTGTGCCAACTTTCTACCATGTATTGTGCAATTTGATTGGTTGATTTCGAGCAATTATGATACACGTTAATGATATGTTTTACGTTTTCCAATCGAGAACAGCTAAAATAAAAGCACTAAATCCACTTCTTCTTTTATTTTCTATTTTCCTTTTTGACATCTCGAAAAATAACAAAATTAATCAAAAAATTTTGAATAAGGGCATGGTACAGCTGTAGGTATTTCCCGGGAGATTTGATGAAAAACTTGGAGGCTCCCTGGAAAACTGGGAGAGTTGGCAGGTATGGTATAGAAACTGTGACATATCCACTCTAATCAGCTATGAGTAGCTTTTGCAACAAAGTGCTTCCTTTGTTTAGAGACACAATTTGAAAATGAAAATAAGAAATTTAATAACAAATATGTAAAAACATTGCTGAAACAAGAAAACCTGCGGTCTCTAGTTCTGTCACCTGAGTCCAGTCCATCTCAGTCCATTCCATTCCATTCCATTCCTTCCTTCGACGGTACACGTACCTTTCACTTACGATTAGCTTGTAACGTCAGATAATTTCCGAGCAAGTACCTGATTTCCCAGAATTTTGTTCACATAACAGCTATCATAACGCGACCTACCATTGTCAGTGACCTCCACTGTCGCTAAATCCTTTACTCTTGACCTAATAATAGTAGCAGCTTCGCGCAGAATTTTCCCTCGTTCCATCCCCGACATCGCAGACCACGAATTGAAAGCATCTTTTGCTGACTGAACCGCGCGATCCACTTCAGGTTTTCCCGATCCATGCGTTTCACAGAGAATCCTTCCCGTGGCTGGCTCCATGATATAGATCTCGTGTTCACCTTCACTGCTGACAGGATTTTGCCTACGACCGTCGATAAAATTCAACTCCTGACAAGGTTTTTCGAGGTCAATTCCTGAGTACCTCCTCAGAGAGCTAAAAAGAAAAGAATATCTATTTCCGGGGAGGCCTGCACACTTCTTGGCAATTCGTGATAGCATGTTGCTGAGTCCAGATGAGATTACTGTAATACTGGAGTCGAAGTTTGTATAAAAGCTAGCTACACTCTTCTTTTTTATAGATGGCTACCTAGTGCAAGGCCCTCCCGGTACCTACCAGGCAAAGCGTGCTTCAATTCATGTTACTCTGAGAATGCGTGCAAGCATTAACAACGAAAAGACCCAACAAAGCTAGCAGCAAAAGCACATTTTGAAGAGATAATTTCTACGTTTTCCTGTTGTATTCAAGGTTTATACATCTAAAATTAACTTTCATTCATACGATGCTGACTGTGTACAAACTACCACGTGGCACGTGTAGAAGCGTTGCGTGACGCCGCTGATAAGAAGGAGACAGGCGTGTTTTCCTCGCGCGCCCTGCATTTCTCAAAACTCCCGAATGATCTCGATCGCCTCGATCTTGTAAAAATTTCCAATTTTTCCATTTGCGGAAATTTATGAAAAATCTCATTTTGTGTAGTCTGCTACACAGCCGTTGTTAGTGTGGTCACGCAAGTTGACGACACTAAAAACGGCCGGGTAGCAGACTACATTTTGTTTCCCGAAAATATTTTTTTCGGGAATTTTGAGAACAGGCACGCCCTAAGAGCGCTCATGCGGGTTTGGGGGGCACCAGTGAACAAGAATTTGGCAGCTCTGGGAGATAGACTGCAGTTCAAAGAACAAAGACTAAACTTAAATGAGACCAAATGAGATTACTGTAATACTGGAGTCGAAGTTTGTATAAAAGCAAGCTACACTTTTCTTTTTATAGATGGCTACCTTAGTGCAAGGCCCTCCCGGTACCTACTGGGCAAAGCGTGCTTCAATTCATGTTACTCTGAGAATGATACGCGTAAGCATTGTTAAAACAAAGAAAGGACCCAGCAAAGCTAACAGCAAAAGCACATTTTGAAGAGGTAATTTCTACGTTTTCCTGTTGCATTCAAGGTTTATACATCTAAAATTAACTTTCATTCATACGATACTGACTGTGTACAAACTACCACGTGGCACGTGTAGAAGCGTTGCGTGACGCCGCTGACAAGAAGGAGACAGGCGTGTTTTCCTCGTTCGCCCAGCATTTCTCAAAACTTCCGAATGAGGTCCCGAATTGTTTGCCTGCAAAGTGCTTTTTCACACTATCCTTGGGAGGCTGTGGAAAGAAGACCAACATACGCCTCGATCTTGCAAAATTTTCCAATTTTTCCATTTGGGGAAATTTATTAAAAATCTTATTTTGTTAGAGTGGTCACGCAAGTTGCGTGACGACACTAAAAACGGCTGTATGTGTAGCAGACTACATTTTGTGCCCCTAAAATACTTTTTCGGGAGTTTTGAGAAGAGGCACGCCCTAAGAGCGTTCAGGCGGGTTTGGAGGGCACGAGTGAACAAGAATTTGGCAGCTCTAGGAGATAGACTGCAGTTTAAAGAACGTGACTAAACTTAACTTGTAAATTATGCATATTGTTGTTTGACTCTCGGTTTGAAAAATTAATTTTTCTTGAAACGCTATTAATAATGTGAGGCTTCTAAGACAATAATGCTCGTCGAGAACTTCACACCTTAAGAATACTGTTCCTTTCACACATTCAATGTTCTTGGTATAAAAAGTGTTTGCCTCCTTTGGCGTAGGCTGAAAACCATATTATTAATAATCACAAATAATCTAAACTATAATCCTTCTACAGAAACAAGCGTTTTTCCCCCGCCATACAAATCCTTAGATTTCGAACGATACTCAACAGTGCTGACAGTTATATTTTGAGCTTGGACCACCTGTGATGTGTAAATAACGCTGTAGCAAGTTATTGATCAAATCATGCATGTTTTGATATCAAAAGAATAGGTTGATTAATTCTTATGGGCACTAATGTTGTTACTTATATGTCCACTGTAAAGTCTGTAAATTGTATAAGACAGAAAACTTAGTAGTGCTCCTTGCTTCCTCTTACGTTAAAGGATAAGACAGCCTTTCGTTGATTCAATTTTGTTTTCAGAGTGCGTCTACCTTTAACGGTCTTTTACTAATCTACCGGTACATCAGTTTTGTTAAGAGATATTTCGGCGTCCTCACGCGGATACAGAGCGCGCTTTTGAAAAGCGTCCTTATGTTCAGAAAAGAAGGTTTAAGTCGTCATTACATCGTTGTTTGGTTTGACGTTTTAACCTTGGCTCAAGCGAGACCAATATGTGAGTGATTATTTTTGGAATATTTTAAACTTTCGTTTTCTTGTAATATGGATTCCCGGACAGATTTGAACTTGATTAATTTGTTGCAACACACCCCTGGAAGTTTCGTTCGGTTTGTCAGCCACAGTTAAGTTCCAATCTCAAAACGGTCACCTTTTGGGAATGGCTGGCCTGCGAGAGCAGATGCCTTTTTCGGCTCTTGATTCACCAGCCGAGAATGGCTAGGGAATGGCCAAATCACCGCTTACATGTAATATAGGTTTGACAAGAAAACGAAGATGATCAGAAAACGAAATATCCAATACACGACAAATAATGACCCCGTACAATGTTTCTAGCTCTTGTTGAATTAAACGAAAGCAAGAAAGACCATTATAAAAAGCCATGCACAGTGTATTAGGCCTTTTCCAGGCATTCAGATCGTAACGGGACGGCGCGAAGAGATGTGAGCATAAAAAACAGCGACGGGTGGGGTCCCTCTTTTCCTCCCTTATTTTTTTTCCCGCTCTCTTGCTTCGCGCCGTACTGCATTATCTGAACGCCTGGAGCAGGCTAACAGTGTATCTGGTGAATTAGTTTGTCGAAGTGTGGTACAATTCGGCAAAGTGATCGTTTTGTTGAGGGGATTTCCAGGACTTTAGTCAGTGACCGATAAAGGAGGTTGACCGCTTGATACTCAGACTGTAGACCAGTCCACTGACGGTTGCCGTAAATCGTGAAACCATTCAAGGGGAACAGAAGATGGCAGATTGTTGTTGCTCCTAATATCTATTAGGCCATTCCCATAAAATGTCTCGTTTCCCATCGTCTAGCCTGAGTATCAGGCGTTTCTGGGGAAAAGGTGAAAGATGGAAGCGAAAAAGGGAGAGGGGTGATGGCCTGATACTCAGGCTACCATCGTCCGACCGACCCATATTTTTGGAAAAGTCAAAAAAAAAAAAAAACATTCCAGAATCACGTGTAAAGAAGCAAGTACTTTAATTTACAAGCACACGATCTTGTCTTATTAACACCAGTTGTCTTAAATTATTATCGATACTTCGTTTTTGTAGCCTTTTTAGACATTTGATAGTCCTGTTGATATACATCTTTTACCATCTGATTATATCATGCAGACTAAACGTGAGATTTAATATGCAATCAAGTGTTCATTCCTTTTTTTTTTTTTTTGCCCGACCGACCGACCCAACTTCACGAGAGGAAGGGCGATGGGAACGAACATTTTATGGGGATGGCCTTGGTCGTAACTGTTTATCAGTCGGCTGCAATTCCATCTCGGAATTCCACATAATTGGTTTAAGCCATGAAATCCTATACCAAACTAAATGCACACGTAAATCAAACTTGTATAAGTATAAAATAAAGCAAATAAAGTGCTAATGAGTATATCTACGATTTTCAACTTATAAATGCATGTATTAGAAAAGAAAAGAAAAAATTACAAAAGTAGCCTCTATTAAAAAGATTTTTGTTTTCAAAAAAAAAAAGAAACAAACAATTTACAAAAATTCAGTAGAACGAAGAAATTCGAAAGAAATCGAGTAAGCGAGCGACTTCTTCAAACTGTTCCTCTCTGTTTCATAATAAACTGATGACTCTCGAAGAGATAATGTTCTCTTCAGGGTAGGAAAATAACTGTCAAGCTTAAAGACAAGATGTCTCCACCCTGCCAAACACTAAAAGCAAAATTTGCATTTTAAACCTGATAAAAGACTTTTCATAGAGGAGAAATGTGGTTTTTAAGCTTGAAGCGGAAGATGATGTGTCAACCCTGTCAACCTGCAAATGATTTCTTTTCAGCCAGAACTGCTTTAATGGTCTTTGATGGAAGCAGGCACTCCGGCTAAAAGCAAACAAATCAAGCTTTTTGATTTTAAAATATTCATTTAGACCTTCTGATATCGTGTTAGAAGTCGAGCAAGCCACACTGTATCGTACTCTTTCGTGTTTTATTCCCTTTAGACTTGGTAAGAAAGATTTGAACATTTTTCGTGCCGCCGAAGAACAGTTGCATTTTTTAAATCAAATTTAAAAATTCAACCTGAGTTGTGAAAGAAAGAACAGCAAAGGTAGCGAAGACTGACAAAGATCATCAAAAATTATGTTTTAACAGGTAAGCTATACTTGGTTTATAGGTTTTATTTGCTAGTTGATGATGGATCCCACATAGTCAATTTTTCGCCCCATGTAAGGGAATCCATGACAGTCTTGGATTCTGGAGCCTACACAGGCTAAACTGACCAGTATAGTAGGTGGCTCGGGCATTCATGACTTGGGAGTGGTCTTCGGAGATTCAGTGTAAGGCTAAAATTGGAGGCTGAAAGCATGATATAAGCACCGCAAATCGCTGACTGTGTTATTACCCCGGCTGTTATTAAACTGGGAAAAAAAGAAGCCGTTCCAGTTCTTTTAGATGAAAAAGGCCAGTCTGATTTTTTTTTTATAGGCTATTGTGTGTTGCGTTTAAAAATTGTGTACTTTAGGTGTTCCTCTTTAGCACTTTTTTTTCAGAAAATGCAAGTTGTTGTTTAATGACACTTGTGACGAGCAAAACCACAGCGACAAACCAGTAAGGGCCAGCTGGCTCTTTAGTAGACCTGGATCAGTAAAATCTTCGTTACCAAATTTTAAAATGAAAATGAAAACAGTAAACTGATCCTTCAAGGCAGGAAGAGTGATAGAAAAAATAAAGAAACAAACAAAAATAAAATGGGGATATAATTCACCATTAAATTTTAGTTTAGTGACAAAAACCTTTCGCAAGCTGTACAATTGCTGTAAGCACCTGAAACTTAACGGAGAAAATTTCA